TGAAATATCAGTGAATACGTAACATCATTCAATTTCGACAGTGAGTCTTACGAATTATCTCAGCTCGACACACGGATCCATGTTACATATCTTACCAGGCTTAAAGTTAAAATTATGTAGTGATTACTACTATGTTTTGCCACGCCTACATTTTTCTCAACTGTGATTAGTTAAATAATAAATACTAAATATCACAGAACAATTTACTGATCACATTCACCACACTGAATTTTTCCTACCGTTAATTCACAAACATGCTATTGTTATAAAATCACCAATTGGTTAATTTTTTATCCAATCAGATATTTTTCGTGTTCTTTCAAAATTTATCCCGCGTTCGTGCTGGGAGCCTACCGGTAATAATATAAGCCCGGATTCGTTCCCAAATTGGACAGTAGAGTTGAAGACAGTTGAAGACAGTAGAACTCAACAACTCACACGCGTCTACAAAGACTATTCATTCTACTCACTCTGCACGCATACACACAGACACAGAACTTGAATACCATTCACCATCAGTTCTTTGTGAACAAGCCAAGTTGTAACAGCTCTGTTAGTTATACAAAATACACAGCTCAACTTACTGTATGTTCTTCTGAATACACATTCAATTTCAATACAGAACTTTGAACATTCTATTCAGAAAACTTGCTTTATTACATTTTACCTTATTCAACTAACAGATAAAGGAAAACTACTTTTTTCTCCTTATTATTCACACATTACAAAAATTGCTTTGTATTTGTTGATTTTAATATATATTTTGTCGTTGAAACACAAATTGGTTTTCCATTGTTTTTCCTTGATTTAAAAAAATGTATAAATGTTAAATGCTCTTCAACACGCAGCCACATTAATCTTTTCAACACAACCAGCATTTACAATTACTTAACATTTCCACAGCTTGCAAAGTACACTCACTCAACTACATAAACTCAACAGAAAACATCAAGTTACACATTCAATCGAAGAGATACAACTTCATACACAAAACAGTAAACCGAGTACAATATTACAAAATTCAACACCAAAAATAAACTGTTTAATTTTCTTACAAACACAAAAATACCTTATCAAACTTACCCATTTTTATATACACCATTTCTCAACTCTTAATCTTTCATATAATATCTTCATAAACACTTCAATCCACACAAGAAAAAACTTTGAAGCAATTTAAACAATTCTTAACATAAAATTGTGTACCTTCTATTGGTTATATAAAAAAAAAACATTTATTATTGAACCAAAGTATTCTTTTATATCGTCATTTCTCTTCTTGTTTGCTTGCTTTTTATTGCATTTGCGAATTTTTTCTTTTTTTTTTTTAAAGTAGCGGGTTAACCGCATTACGATCAAACCGTTACAGATTGGTAAACCCGTCTTGTTGGTGGTATTAACCACATCCCTTACAAATCCAATGTCAGGTACTGGCGTTGCAGGTCGAGTCCAGTGGTAAACATCTCGTAGTATAAGAACCTATCCCGTACACTACGGTTATAAGAGCCTGGAACCACATGCATGCCGCAAGTATGGAGCGATGTGTAGCCGGACGTAAGGGGCTGTAGTGAGCAGGACCGTTTACGCCGTCAACTAAGTGGGTTAGATTGAAGTAAATGATGCCCGTGCTGCCTTTGCGTTGTAGCTGGTCAAATGCAATGTTCGGTGCTGGCTTTGCGTTGTAGTTGATCAATCAAATCCAATGTCCGGTGCTGGCTTTGCATAGCTGCTGGCCGGGTCCAGTTGTGACCTCCCCCCCCCCCCGTAGTATTATAACCGTAGTGTACTGGATAGGTTATTAGAGCCTGGAACAATATGCATACCGCAAGTAGGGAGCGATGTGAAGCCGGAAGTTCGGGGCTGTAGTGAGCAGGTCCGTTTACGCCGTCAACCAAATTGGTTAAGTTGAAGTAAGTGATGCCGGAAGAAAGGACCGTGATTTAGTCGGAAGTAGCAAGGCCAAGAATTCCACAAGCAAGGGTCTGTGTTAGCCAGGAGTAAAAGTCCATGGTTGCATGAAGTAGCATGCCAATAATGCCAGAAGCATCTACTGGGCTGGTGCATAATTATCAGACGTTTTTTAGGCGAGTTATTTGTTAATAAAAATTGCTGTTTTGTTTACTTTTTTAATATAAATATTTTACTTTCAGGTTATAAAAATGCGTGTCGATAATTATACGCTCCAAAATAATCATTTAAATATGTTATTGTTTAATTGTTTCTTTTTTCATAATAAATATTGTTTAAAAAAACGCCTGATAATTATGCACCAAACCAGTACTTTTTCACAATTATATTAATATGGTTTTGTAGTTCATTGGCAGCAATTTTTAATTGTTTTGTTAGTAATTTGGACGAGTTTTTACTTTCGTCATATCTGCCATTTATTGGTTCAGCTTCGAATAAGTTCCGAATTATTGGTTTTGTTTTTATTACTTGTTGTTCTTTAAGTTTTTGTATGTTTTGATATAACATTTCTATTTCAGATTTTTTACCCAATTTATTGTAGTGTCTGTAAAGATGGCAAATTGAGTAATTCCTTTTGGTGGTCTGTAATTCATAGTTGGAGATGTTGATAATTTATGTTTATTATTTGTTCATGTGTAATTGAACTAATGTCAATAGAAATCGATTAACATTAGTGCTACAAAGTTTTTTTTTTATTTTTACAACACAAGACTTGTAGAAATATCTGATAAAAATTAATCGTTCGTGTTTGTTTTCTTTAAAGTCTCTGAGAGACATAGAAATATGAGCAGCCGCGTGGCGTTAAAAGCTTTATCTCCAAGTTTAATATTGTAATTTAATACTGTTCATTCAGCAGTCAAAGGAACGGGCTTGCGGTGAGACACAGTTGTATGGAGCGGTCTGCTGGTGAGACACAGTTGTGTTCATCTTGCCAGACAAGTAAGCTGTTCTGAAGCGGTTTGACTCATTATTTGAATGCTCTGAAGGGATCACGCACACGCGCGTTAGCTCCACAAATTTCTTACGAAGCGACCGCATATTTTTGTACACCTGATTGTGTTTTATTTTTTTAGAAAACGTGCATAGGCGTTTTTTATATGTTAAGAATTGCGCCAAAGTTGATCCGATTTTTCTCGACAGCAAATTGCATCATTTCCTATAAATACTTCCCTTTCCGAATCGATATAGAATACATCGAAAGAGAAGAGTTTGTGATTAATCTCTTAATATTTCTTTTATGTATTTTTATGTCTGTATGTGTGCATTGTGAAACATAATTTTTGCGCTTGGTAGGCCGGTGAATATATAGTTTGTCTGATTGGATGATCTTTTTCGCTTGTCGACGAGACGTTCTCGTCTTTATCTTTGTATACGACGGGTTAATTTTCCGTAAGCTGATCAGATGATTTCTCAATGTAGGCTGGCTTGAGTCTGTCAATTTTATTGTTTTTTTTTTTTTTTTTGATTATGAAAAATTTATCTGATTTTTCTAGTATTTTGTAAGGTCCGTCGTAATTGGGTTGCAGCGATTTCTTAATCGTGTCTCGACGCACAAAAACAAACTCACTAACATTTATGTTAAGAGGTAGATATACCACGTTCGAATCTACATGCGTCAGTGCAAAAGAAAGTTTTGCCATGTGTTGTCTTAAGTGAGTCGCATAATTTGAAGCTGAAGTGACATTTTGGTTATGTTGTGTGACAAATTTACCTGGTAGCCGTAAGGTTGTACCATATACCATCTCTGCTGCAGTGCTTTTGATGTCTTTGATCGTGGATCGGAGTCCAAGAAAAACTATCGGCAAATATTCACTCCATTTGGCTGGGTCAGGTTGAGCAGCAAGTGCAGTTTTTTTAATTAACGGTGGAAACTTTCCACCAAGCCATTATTGCAAGGATGGTATGCCGTAGTTTTTATGTGGGTAGTTCCCAAGTTCTGCATTAGCTCTTGAAAGAGAGCTGATTGAAATTGTTGGCCTCTGTCCGTTATGATCGTATTAGGAATACTAAAGTTCAAGAACCAGCATTCGATGAAAATTTTTGTTATATTTTCTGCTGAAATATCCTTGGTGCCATGAGCCGAAGGCCAGCGAGTGAATCTGTCGATCATGGTCAAGATATATGAGTGCTCATTGGGTGTAGGTAACAGCCCTACAATGTCAACGTGCTCATATGAGAAACGACCACCGGAAGTTGAAAATACACCAAGATTGCTTTTTATATGCCTGTGGTCTTTTTTTTTTTTTTTTGCACCATGTATGACATCCATATGAAAGTCTTGATCTACTAATGCTATTCTAAAAATGATTCATTTACGCTATTTACATTATTCGGACTGTTGTTCTTATCTTTACTGTCACAGTCACATTTTCATCCTTTAATAGTCATTAGTGCTTAGTTTAATTTGTAACATAAATAAATGTAGGTAGAAATAAGCAATTGTTGATAAGATAATGTGGGTCACAAAGCACTGACCGTGGCCTCCAGGAAACAGCTCAACCCTTTCCCACAGACAAAATGTCACAAGCGTATTACTTTTTTTATCATTATTTGAAATGTTCAAATGAACTACATTACTGAGTTCCACCAGTTTAGACCTTCACAGCTATGATATAGCATGTCAAGGACACATAGTCAAATTGTGTCCATTACTTTCATATTCCATTTGTAAGAAGGAAGTTCCACTTCTCGAGAACTACTATTTTGAGGAACTAACACTTGAGAAGATGCTTCCATGATCACTACAATCTTAATTTCTTCAAATTGAGGGTCAACCTTTATCTTTCTATATTTTTACATAATCTGCATTTCTTACTTTTTCCTCTTATGTTTATACAACTTCATTTACTAACTTGAGTGGCTTTTGTGCCTTGCATTAAGTGAACATGTAGTGTAAAAAACAAAACATTGATAATTAGAAATAACAGAACATAACCGGATAATCTTTTGATATTTCTGTTGCTTGAAATTTGTGCATCGTTTATTTCCTACAAAATGCGTCCAATTAAAAAATGTACATTGTTTATCCGCAGCTGCCATTGTGGTTACGAAGAGGCTTACCATACTGAAGTGCAGTCAGGCAAGTGGGATGAACAGCAGCATACGAAAACGGAACCAACAAATGCCTTTGGTAAAATTGAGTTCCAAGGCTTTGGACAGAAATTTGGCAGAGTAAGTACTTGCAGAAAGTAATTTGTGAAATATGAAGCGAGGTAAATGTACTAAAATCAGGCAAAATCTTTTTGAAGGAATCATGGCAATTTGTAACCAAGTAAAAGAAGCTGTAGAGCGCCATGATCACCTATGTCTTGAAGGAACGTGGCATAAGCAGCAATAGTTTATGGTTGATGCTCAGTAGGTAAAATACTTCTAATAATAAAAGTTTAAATTTAGAAATAATAAAACCAAAATCATGATGCGAATTTAAGGGATCACATCAGATTATGCGTCCCATAACAAATTAGGGCACTAAGGGCATCATATAGCCCATCACTTTTCAGGTTGGTTTTTAATTTAGTTTTCATTCTAGATAGGTTCCCACCTCAAGGCAAAAGAGCCGAGTCAACCTTGTTATTTAATCTATAATGGTGGGGAGAATGAATTCATACGTTTCCCAAAGGTATTTGCGAGTAAGGGAACGTAACAAACTTGGTCAGAATCAGAAAGTTAATCTCCTGATTCCTCTTTTCAAGTGACTTACTGCTACACTACCTGCACATCCATTTTAAGGATAATTTGGATTAATTGACAAATAGATTGTGTAAAAATTGCTTAACGTTCAAAACAGTTGGTAGCTTTCTTGTCTGAAAGATATCTGGAAAAGGATAATACATTGGATCAGTATTCTTCATTGAACAAAAAAATCCACTGACCAACTTGTACACTCTAAAAATATAAATATACTCACGATGAATAAAACTAAAAGTAATGTTCTTTCTGGTTTCAGTCACTACCTTTCAAGAACGATAATTTTAAGTTGATAAAAAAATTGCCTTGTCCAAATTTCTGCTTTTTTTTTTTTTTTTTTTCCCTGACAGTATGTTCGGGTTGACTACAAGACGGACATGGACCTAATAATTGATCTGATAAAAAATCAGTGGAAACTTCATTTACCAAATCTACTCATCTCTGTGACGGGTGGAGCAAAGAATTTTCAAATGAAACCTCAATTGAAAGAAGTATTCAGGAGAGGTTTAGTCAAAGTAGCAAGGAGCACAGGTAGTTCTTTTTTCTTTTTTTTTTGTTGTTGTTTCACTTTTGAAATTACTCTAAACATTAAAGTGAAAAAGATTTACAGATTGAATTACAATGTCCATAAAGTCTCTTTACAATTAAAAAAAAATATTACTTAAGCAAATGAACAAATATGTGGAAATTGTGACAAAACTGAGGAGTAGATATTGATTTAATACTTTTCTATATGGGCGCCATTAGTTGTACGAAGCACATCAAGACGGTACTCGATTTCTTGCCATGTTCGCTGTAACATAGCCTCATCAATGGTGGCAATGGCATCAGTGAAAATCGCCGTACAGATGAAGAAAACGACTCGAGGTAATAGAAATGTGGTTCTACAGAAGGATGCTAAGAATAACAGGGACTGAAATGTGAACAACGACAAATTTTTACGGAAAATAGAAACAAAAAGAACACTTATACTTAGTATCAGAAAGAGAAAATTAAAATTTCTATGGCACATAATGTGGAAAGTGGGCTTAGAAAATTCGACACTCACAGGACTTATTGAAGGCAGAGGAAAACTGTACATAACCTATCTAATGAGCTTGTGCAAATGATTGGCAGAACTGGGCTTAGGACAGATATAGTAAAACGACAAAATTTACTAAGATCTGCAAAGGACAGGAAATAGTAGAATGCCATAATCATCAATGTCCTGAAGGAACATAGCACGTAGAAGAAGACGACTCAGTTAATTCCCCTTCATCTTATTTGCTAACTTAAAAGTTTTAATCCAAATTGTCATATTTAAATTGTGGATCAGTATGGCCATTGTATGCGCATATGTGTTAGATTATTAAACAGATTCTTGCACTCAATCAGCTTACTAGACCATTTGAATGCTGTTGATGATGACAAAGAAGGCTTGCAAGTGTTTATAGAAAATTTGTTTGCAAATATATTTGTAGTGAAATAAATTACTAAATAACCCCAATGCAGTAGTCTGGAACCAAAATAATCAATAAGAAAAATTTAAATTTAAGCAATAAAAATGCTTTAAAATACAGATAATAATGGCAATTAACGAAAAAGAAAGAAAACGTTAGGTTACTAAAAAAATAGTGAAATAAATATAGAATGGTCCCATGATGCATCAGGATAAGCGTTTTAGCATGAAATGAAACAAAAATCAAAATTTTATCTGTCTTAATTTTTTTGATGTCCAATGGAGATATACGTCATTGAGAATTTTCTGATAAAACATGTTACCATCAACAGATAAGCTAAACTTTTTTTTTTATTTCTGTACACATATGTTCTTTAAAATATGCAATCGTTTCTCGGATATGTATACTAAAGATTTTAATCGTTTTTGTCTATGCTTATTTCGTTGTATCTCATGCATGATTTTGTTTGTGATATTAAAATCCCGTAGTCGAATGATGACGCTTTAATCACCTCCGCAAAAAAAGATAAATTTTTATTTTAACACCCGAACGTCATTCACTGCTGAACTATTTTCTTTCAGAAATTAGTACGCGCTTCCGTAAAGCGATTTTTTTTTTGGTAAAGAGACCCGGATATAAGAGATTTTATCTGGTCCCAAATTAGAGCCTGTGTTAATGTATATAAATTAGACCAAACCCGGATATAAGAAACTTCTTCTCCGGTCGCGACAACTCTCTTATATCCGGGTTACACTGTACTTAATTTAAGAAATTTAACTTACAAATATATGTAAACATCGACAAATAAAAGAATAACAAAAGAAAAAAAAAACACCTAAACCTTAATTTGAAAGTTAACTTTCTTCTTAAAAATAAAAGAATAACCAAAAAAAAATCTAACCCTAATTTGAAAGTTAACTTTCTTCTTAAAAAAAAAAAAAATAAAAGTTCAGCAAAAAGCATAACAAAAAAACAATTTTGGAAAAAAAAAAACATTTTAACCTTAATTTGAAAGTTAACTTTCATCACCAGAAAAAAAAAAAATTAATTTATGACGAAAGACCAGGTAAAAAGTCCGCTTTTTTTCGGGTCGTTAACATCAAAAAGGTAGGTTTGGTTTTAATATCTAATTGTTGATTTGAGTTCAGCATATACATTTGCACGGAAATAAGACTATTTTGGAAAAATTTGAAGGATATTAGCGCTCCTTTTTGTTGTTAAAATGAAAATTTAGAAAAAAAAAAAAAAAAAAAAAAAAAAAAAAAAATATTTTTATGAATTCTGTTCAGACAAGGCCAATGCATCACCAGAACAACCCACCAAATATTCAATTTATTTCAGGAGCATGGGTAACCAGTGCTGGGCTAAATGCTGGAGTAATGAAACATGTCGGTGAAGCTATTCGAGATTATGGTTTTACACTATCTGGACGCGATAAAGTCGTTGCCATTGGTATTGCTCCATGGGGCTGTGTTCAGAACAAAGATAATCTCATTGATAAAAATGTAAGTAAATTCATTTTCAAGAAGATGTTTTGTCCTTTTTGTTCATCAAAAAAGAATTTCTAATTTAGAGTCCAGAATATGAGAAGAGTAGACGCAATTAATAAGAATAAAATACAAATAAAACATCTTTCTGGTTTTTTGATGGGGAAAAAGAAAATATTACGTGGTTGAGAAAAACAACAATCAATTTTGTGTCTGACAAGACAAAATTTTGATACTATTATGCATTAATTTAATTGAAGCAATATTTTCGTCTTTGTTGATCATTTTTGTCACTGTATCCTCTACTCATTCTCTCTCTCTCTCTTTTTCATATAGGTACCGCCATGAGATCGCTAATAAAAGAGCATAGCATGATGAAAAAGACGCCAAATTTGACGAAAACAAAATTTTATCGTCTAAATGTTTATATTATTATTAAGAGGAAAGATCAAAGTTTATTTTAATTATTTTTAAAATTTTTCCTTCTTTTTAGAACATTCTAAATTTTGAGTAAAAAAAAACCTTTTTCTCTTTGTATCACCCAAACTCGTAAAATAACATATACAATTTTTAGCACTTTTTTTTGTGTGACAGACATTAATTTGGAAAATCTTGCAAAAATAAAAATAATTGTCGGATGTTAATGAAACTTTCAGAAACTATTCACAGATGATCGAAATTATTATAAATATGTTGTTTTTTTTTTATTAAAGTCATGTCAGAAATATTTTTTATGTATTTATTACAAAGTAATTTTATGAAAACGCTAGAAATTCGATCGCATCGGGGTTAGTGATTACAATAGTTAAAAGCACAAGGCTTTGAGGAATGCAAATCATGTTTTTTTTTGTTTTTAATTGGACCCCCAACCCCACCTGAAAATCACCTCTGAATTGTAACAAACAAAACTCAATAAAACAAAGATACTATTTAATTTCAAATGCTTTTATTTGCTTTTATGAATAAGGACAATATTTTCTGAAAGCAAAAAAATTTTTCTATGAAAAATGAATTTTTAATACAATTATTTGTTATTTTTTAATTATAATAGATTTTTACATTTAAGTTAAATATTAATAAAAATTAATTAATATAAATTAATTAAATATTATAAAATTAGTTAAAAGCCGCATCGGCTTTCCTAATTGTCCTTGTGAGATAAATCTTTTTTTTTTTTTTAGCGCGTTGTAAATTGTATCATTTTGACTAATCAGAATACCCGCAGTAATTAAGAAATGTAATTCTGTGTTTATAATCGGACTGTAATTATAAAGTACGGAAGACCAACCAGAATACAATTAAGTTGCGTTATTTGAGTTAAACATTGTTCTCCGCTGTTAATGCCTTTACTTTTGCGAAACACGTGTGGAGAAGTTAATTTGATTTTCAATTTCAACTGAGAAGGGTAACACCTACAAGTATCAGTATCATCTTATGAAATTTATATGATCTTATTTTATATTAATCTCAGTTATGACATTTTTTCCATAAATGAAATATCAAAATTAATAATAAAATGAAGGAAATACAAATAAAAAAAAAAAATGTAATAAATGTACATAAAATTATAGTATTTTATGTACATTTTGATAAAATTTCATAAGAAAGGTACCTATAAATTAATTAGATAACTTTCTTATGAAATATGAAATTTAATGTCACTCTTAAGTCTTATTTTAATTTCTTTATATTTTCCATAAAGCATCGTAAACGTAAAGGTGAAAGCTAAGTACAAAAAACAAAAAAACAAAAAATAGAGCGCTGAAAGTTTTCCTTAAAAGTAACGAGGTACAGTAGTGGCCATAATATAAGGAAGGGAAACAACAAAGACATAAATTAAAAATTGTGGCAAGGTGCCATGTCCTGCATGGAAATAGGAGATTCATAAAGATTATGGTGTAATCTTGGTACCACATGCTGCTGAAGAAGCCTTTTGTAAATCTCAGCATTGATATTGCCATGTACACGGATGATACAAATAACCCTACAGATGAAATCACAGTATTTTTACACCATCACACTGCCGCCACCAAACTTAACGGTTTTCTTGACACATTGAGTTACTAGAAGACAGTCTTTCACCTGTTCTACCTGTTCAGAACCAAATATAGTAAACTTGGACTCGTCACTGAAATGAACTGTATCCCATTGTGCATCAGTCCAAACAAGATGTTCTCTCGCATACCCAGGCGTTTGTTTTGGTTTCGCTTTGAAATGAGAGGCTTCCATAGAAAGCTGGAATACGGGCATGCAACCTGCATTTTTTAACCTGCGAGCAACCTTTTCTTTGAGATCTTATTATCTGTCTCTTCATTAAATTTACGGGCAATTGATGTAGCAGTTTCAAAACGGTTTTTTGTAGATATTCTAACAATTCTTCCATCTTCGCTTTACGATGTTTTTGGAGGTCTGCCGGTTTTTGGTTTTGCATCTAACGTTTTATCGGTTTTATACCTGCTAATTACACGATGAACGACACTTTTAGACCTATGAACAATATCAGAAATTTCTGAAATTGACTTTTTTCTTGATAGTTAGCGATAATGAGTTTTTTTCTTCAAAAGAGAGCGTTTTGCGTGTAGGATTTGCCATATTGCTTAAAAATAAATGATAAATGAACTTTTACTTATTGTTGAAAAGCTCCATCGAGTTTTTTAACAATGTAAGTTTATGCAAATTATTATCATCGTTCCTTAACTTTTGTTCAGTAGCTTATTTCCTTTGTTCCATTTTATCTTTATTTAAAAAAAAAACTATTATGTAAATTTTTGTAACTTTGTATAATATTTATGCATTACACCCTAATCTTTATTCGGTAAAAATTTAATTGCTAATCACGCATTACTTTTTAAGTAATACACATATTTATGTCTGCTACTGTAAATAATTTGTACACTTATATGTAAATAATTTCACTATTCTCCTTCCGTAGAACAAATTATCCTCACGGAATCCGTCAATATATCATTCATCACCTGTCATGTGACGCAAAAGTTTATGACCTGCTTTGTTTTATTTTCAAATTACATCTTTTTCGGTGCAGAAGCTAAGTTAAACTTGGTTCAAAATATTTTAAATAAACATTATAATTTCTGATTTTCTTAAAATAAGTTTTGAAAAAATGATAATTGATATTTAAAGAGTTTCAAAGTGAGATTTTCAGTTTTTTATAAAATGGAAAAAATGGTCAATTTTGTTGACTCAAAAAAAAAAAAAAGATTTTTAACGAAAATTTCGGACGTACTAGGAAAAAAAATAAAATACCTCCAAAATACTTAGATTCTTCCTCTTAATAATAACATAAACATTTAGACGACAAAATTTTTTTTTCGTCAAGTTTGGCGTCTTTTTCATCATGCTATGCTCTTTTTTTAGTGATCTCATGGTGGTACCTCAGCTTTATATATAATCAGAACTACTCAAATACCAGTATCCAATAATAATAACATTTAAAGTGATAAAAATCTGTCGGATTAATAAAAATCCATTCTAATAAATTTTCTTTGTTTACGTTTGGATATGAAACTGTGTGCAGATATGAAAAACTTAAAAAGCTCATTCGTTTATGGAATTTTTACAAAACAAGCGTTTCAATATGAGGGAGCTGACTGGGAATTGGTAAAATGACATTAGTATATAAAATGTTATATGCACTTTAATGTGTTGTTGCTATATTCGTAGTAAATTTTGGTGAGTGTTGGTTGATTTTGAAATAGAGGGCCTCAAGAATGTATAATTAGAAAACAAATGAGCAGTTTTATCACTAAATATTCTGTGTAATACATTTCAAGTACCTATGCTAATACTTGAAATACAAAACTAGTTTCTGCTCCAAGAAAGTCAAAGGTAAAATGGACCAAAAAAAAACAAAAAAAACTGAACCCCAAAATACAATTTTATTTCTTTTATTCTAACTTGGTTGTTGTTCAGTAGGACTAGCTTTCTTACCATCATCCCTCCCACTTCTGGGGTTGAATGCCGTCATAAAGCCCTGAAACTGTCTGAATTCTTCACCGAGTGTCGAAGGGCCTTGCGTGCTAATCTTTGGTCCAGTGACCTCTTACGGCTTAGGAGGACATTGTATTGGGAACTAGTGAAGGGGGTCACGTTGGACCTATTCTGTGGGCTGCTTGGCTTGTCAGCGACCGAATTGCACCCTTTCTGGTCCTGGGCACCAGCGGTGAATTACCTCAGCAACCCTGGCGATTGATCTGGAATGCGCTATCAATGATGTGTGTTTTGGAGCGAGCTGGGCAGATATGTTCGACTCTCATTGGTGTGACCTGGTTTTAAAAGAAACCGTTGCGCACGACTTCTACCAATGTCCTCTAGAGCGCTCCTTTTCGGAGAATATCGGCAAGTTAATAGCTCGTATTTATCATGAACATCTCGTGTCCATCGATCTCACATACGCGTGTGATGAAGTACCTCTCTCGTGCTCAGGGGGGAAACGGGTGGTTTTCTGATGCTGCTAGCTGTGACCCTTTTCCAACTTAGTCAAGATGATCTTCGTCCTCTCTAACCTAACTTTCTGCCCTGGAGTAACAAGGTGCCTCACAGGTTTCTCGTACGATTTCACTTACAAGACTTTTTTTTCACTGCTCTTTGAAGTGTCATCAGTGAAACTCTTCTCTCACGTGCTGTCTTATGGATTGAGTTGGATCTTTTCTAATTGATCTCTCTAGCTCTAAGTTGAAATGATGATCTTTCTTCCTGTTGTTATCTCCTGATCCAGTTTTCCTATCTATTGTTCCTTTTTCTTAAAACTTATTTACTGTACTCTTGACGGTTCTTGAATCAACTTTGATGGAAGCTAGAGTGTGAATATTGGTGCCATTACTGAAGGCCTGAATAATCTTTTTCCTCTCACGATTGCTCATTTGGGAAAACAGAGGGGCTGACACAAAACAATTTTAATATGTTCATTTTTAGCTGAATAACTTAGAGTTTTTCAGTGATTCTTACATAAAATGGTGTTAAGATGGATAAATATCTTATCTGACAATTTGGAAAAATGAAACTCAATTAGTTTAGTGGTTTTTTAGATATTGAACATTTTATGGGATTGACAATTATGCTGTTACACTATATGGACAATTTTGCTGTTACACCCGGTATATGTACAACAAGTATGGTGCAATGGTTAAACGAGGCTAGCCTGGTTGAACACTGTTACTTCGTAGTCAGTTTGATCCTCACTGGATGCCCCATGCAAAAGTCAACATTTAATAACCCAACAAGGATTGCAATTTACACTATATTCAGGCTATTGTTCTCATCTTTGTTGTTTTTATCACAAAGTTTTGGCCGTTGTGACCTCTAGCCGTCCTCAGGTATATATCAATCTGGATAATCTACAGGGAATTTTGAACAGAACCCTTTATCTAACATTTAATCTACAGTGATAGACTGTTCTTGTTCTACTGTCTAGGGATATCATCTAGTTCGGTTGAAATGGGTGAACAATAATAATATAATAAATAATATAATTATTATATTATTATTGTTCACCCATTTCAACCGAATACAAGTACACATTGCCCAACCCAGGGATTGAACTCACAATCACTATGTCACCAGATTCACAAACCAATGCTTTTGCTCACTAGGGCAATTTAGAGCTTTGATCTTAACCTTGCTGCTGATTAGGCTGTCACTGCATCTGTTTCTGGCTGTCATGGTTTGACTGCTGCTGCTGTTGAAGACTTGCTGACATTTGTCTTTCTTTCTTTGTTAGTAGCTTCCACATTCTGTTTATTTTTATGCTACTCAGGAGGTCCTCATAGCCTAGCATATGCACTGGTTCTTTCAGACAGAATCTTCTGCATTAGCAAGCTAAATATTTCTGGTGGTAGGGAAAATCTCTTGATGTTTAAACACCAAATTTTAAACTTTTTAACCTAAAATTAATTTGCTTTAGCAGGTTTCAGCAATCATATTGTAGGTTAATTTTTGATGGAATTTTTGAGATGAGGAATTATTATTATAGGATTCTTTGCTATTTGAACCCTCATGATCATCTGGATTGTTATACTCACAATGTTTCAACTCTTGTACTCTCTGGCATTCTTGTGTGGTTGTACTTGGTAACCTTGACATTTCAAACTTACTGAATATGACATCACACTTCTGAAGAAGGCTGGAGGGGGAGGTTGCACTGGCTGAAACCAGGATTGGTGAACATGCTGGTCTGAATAGCAAAACATATAACAATCTATGGTTGTGCATTTTAAATTAGGTAAAAAACTATTGTGAGTGGGTTGCAATTAATGATTTATTAACAAAATAGAGCTATAACTATTATTTTTAAACATTGAAAATATATCAGTTTTTATAAGTCAACAATTTAAAAATCTCTTGGTAGCTATTTTTAAGAGTTTAATTATTTGAAGATTAAAACGTACTGTGTGTCATAGTATGTGTTGATATTTCTGAATTATATTTGACATACTTTTGTCTATTTAAGGGTATGTGGCCTGCTCAGTATGACATTAAAGAAACCAGTCAGGAAGAAGTTAGTCCATTAGATCCAAACCACTCTCATTTCATCCTAGTGGACAATGGCACCCAATACATCTTTGGAACTGAAATTGAATTCCGAGCGAATTTAGAAAGAAGGATTGCAAATGAGAAAATTTCAGGTAAGAATATTTTGGTTGAAAATGTTTGAAGTCTCATGAAAGAACACTTCTTTAATTATGAATAAAATTACAAAAAGGTCTTTACTGAAGAAGAAAAACATTTACAACAAAAATTAACTATCTAAGCAGAATTTTTCTACTTTTATTAACCCTTATACAGTGGTTGTCATCAACTGAATATTTCATTGGAGATCAGTAGCTATCATCAATTTATGAGGTAAACTTTTTCTAATACAGGCATGATTCATTCATAATTCAAGTCTAGTTGATTATGGAGATTAAAAGGTTGCATGTTGGATTATTGTAGATGTGTAAATGTTCACATGTAAACAATTAAAGAAGAGGCATATAAAAAAAAAACTTGGTTTTCAACCCAAACCGTATATTCTCTTTATTAATCTAAACTGTAGTGAAACAAAGTTCTTAATATCTCTTGGTTATGTCCATTTTCTTTTTGGTCCAGAAGTTAAGTATAAGAATCATATTAATGGTCAAATTCAAGTCAGCTTTGCATAGAGTTGGAACAAACAAAGAAAAGCCTGTACTTACTTTATCATTGGAAGGTTTAAACATGGTTACGGTATGTCCATTTTCTTTTTCTTGGTCCAGAAGTTAGGATAAGTAAGAATAAGCATTCTTATAATGGTCAAATTCAAGTCAGCCTTGCACTGAGTTTGAACAATCAACTAAAAAGCTTGACATACTTGATAGGTGGAGGTTTTGGAAGCCATGTGCAAATGCCATGCACTGGAAAGTAGAAAGAAAGTCAGTCAACAGTTGACCAGGGAAACTAACATGCCCCAGTGGTACCATCTGTTTGTCACATACTACTATATCTTGTGGTAAGGAGGAGAAAAATAGAGAGGAAATATTTGCCTTTTTATAGACTTAAATAGCACTGCGTAAAGGCATTTGATAAAGTCAAGTGGGTTAATCATATTTCCAGTTCCTTTACTGCTAACATCATCAGAAAATGTCTTTTTTTCTGTTTCTTTTTTATTATTCACTATTATTATTTGTTTTAATGATTTTATTTCATTTTTCCATATGACTAATTGGCAACTCTAGGATTAAAAGGTTACTATTTATGAGAATTTATTCATTTTCTGGAATATTTGCCTGCAAATGAAACTAGAAGAACAAGCCAAAGACATACATACTTCTCAAAGAGGAAAAAAATGGTGAAACTTTGTACAACAAATGCAAAACACCATTGTGCATGGAAAATTTCAATGAACATGTCAAGTGCATACTACTCTAAACCCCACAACTGAGGGTAGGCCAAGTTTAATTGTGGGCCCCAGGTAGTGCCTTATGATTCTTGCTATTTTATATTTGCTTTTTTCTACCTACATGTATATACACTACAAATTAAACTAAGCACAACAATTAAAGAATGAAAAATTTTCATAGATTTTGATGTCATTCTGTTTTTTTTATACATTTTTTGTCCAAATCTGTGAATTTGCTTTGCTCATGCTGTCTCAAAAAAACACTATATAAAATTAACTATTTTTCATGTTGTTAATTATTCAACTTTTTAACAAGAAAAATCTCAAGTTGATGTTAAAAATTGCTGCAAAATATTGTTGACTTATTTAAGGTGGAATGATCTATTATGACATGTCACTAATTTGCATTTAGTTACATTGTATTTATTTTCAATTTTTCTAGTTGAATTGTTCACCTATATTGCATATGATCCATTATTGTACATAATTAGGTTACAATAAAATTTGTACTTTATATGAATACTACTTTATGAAAATTGAGATGTAGTAGAGTTGTGGGGGAGCATATCATAAATTTAGTGAGGGCCCACAAGGCCCTGGGACTGACCCTGTCAATGAATATCACAGTGTTAAATATATTAAGTTTAAGAACTGAACATTTGTTTTATTTCACTTTTTTCTTTCGCTTTATAAAAGAGTTAAAATGTCATTTTTATAGTTTTTGTAAATACCCTTGGGAAAGGTATGAATCCTCTTCTCCCCTGCCCCCACTTCCAGCTATGGATAAATAGCAGGACAGACCAGGTTCTATAACATTGGATGGCAACTGGTCTATCACAGAAAGAAATGGCAACCTACTGCAGGGAAAAAATCTGCCTCATCAGTTATGTATCGAAAGATACATGATTCCCTAAGCATGTATCACACATGGCACATAACTGACTGATATAATTAAAACAAAAATAATCATAAAATGTACCCTTTTAAGAAAGTGAATGTTTTTGTTTTTTTAATCTATTTAGCATGCATGTTTGTGCAATCTTTTCCAGCATTTAAGGGTTAAATAAAATGTATAAGATGCTTCATTTAAAATGTTAAAAGAGGTTACTAAATTATTTATTAGATGAGTTAATTTGTATGAAGTTTAAATTCTAAGAAGAAATACTTGTATTTACATCCAATGCAGGAGTAAATGATAAAGGAGTTAACATTTAGTACAATTCAGATAAAAGTAATTAGACATTATAGTCTATTTTTTCCTATGGAATTATATGCTTTAAAGATATTGAAATGTTTTATTGTTTGCCTCAATTTTACAATGTCATCAAAACTGTGGAAAATGACTGAAAAATAAGCAAATTTACAAATACTTAGAATGAATAAAATGAATGGCATCTTATTTAAGTCTACAGTTTTATACATACTGGATTTATTTTATTAAAGATGATATAAACTTGTATTAAATGAGTGAATTGATAGTTGGCCTTTTCAGCATCCACACTGGAGTTATTTGACAAATCTGAAATTAACAAACTCACTTCAGTAAAATCCATTATCTTGTTTGTTTAGAAAATTTCAATATTAACTGAATTTTGAATTTATTTAAATTCAAAATGATAAAAACCCAAATAATGTGAACATATTTCACTTTTTTAAATTTTATTTATATAAATTTATCTTATTGAACCTGTAAAAACTCAGATTATCCATCATTTCCTCTTTCTGCTCTTCTTTTACCTTTTGCCTGTATCTTCTTATTCTCTCCCTTATCCCTTTAATTTTTGTTACCTGCCAATATATTTATGTAAATGTTGTACAAAAAGGAATTAGTTTTATATGCAAAAACAGAATGAGAAATGTACCAATATTTCTTATATTCTTATACTCTTTTCTTGCTCTCTCTCTATTTCTCAGAAATTTTAATGTATCACAATTTTTTTAACACTTTTCTATTTTAACCTGCCTTTCAATCTTTTGCTCAAAGGCTTGCTGGCTGGATATCAAGATTGATTGACTGATTTATTTTTTATGGCTTATTAACCTTTAGCAGGTTATTTGAAGCCAGAAAATATTTTTAGATTGTAAGAAGTTTTTTTGGAATTAATAATGATTTACTGGTACAAGTCTAACTAATTAACCCATAGATGGGGAAGAGGTGGATTCATACCTTTCCCAAGGGTATTTGTGCATAAGTGAATATAATGAACCTGACTGGAATTGGAACTTGGCTCTTCAATTTTCAATTCCATACATTATTCATTGTACTACTCTCACATCCAAGTTTACAGCACCTGGTCTTCCCAAGTAGTTACCCATCTAGGTATTGACCAGGCTTAACATTGCTTAACTTCAGTGATTGTATGGGAACAATTTTTTTCATAATCATTTTATCCGAAGCAAAGCAATAAAGCCACTAGGACATTAGAAGTTACTGAGTGCTATTAAAAAGAAAGGACAATAAAAGAATAAGAATTAAGAAGACAAGAGATAACAGTTGACATTGCATTTAAATTTTTGAAGATCAAAGTTGACTGGGAAGAGTTCTACAAATGCAAAGTGTGATAGAAAAAACTATTAACATTGAACTTCCAGTTACATCTAGCCATTTCAACTGCAAAATGATGAGACCTTACTGCCAATCTAGTATTGCGCTTAAATTCATAAAGTTTAGGTAACATAGAGGAAAGTTCATCAATACAATTACCATGAAAGTATTTATGGAAAAGGCACAGGAAAGCTACATTACAGCAGTGGAAAAGTGACTGAAGCTGAGACGCCAAGTCAGGACCAATAATGCTGTAGATTCTTCTTTGGATTTTATCAAGAATTTTTAGATAAATAGCAAGAGTACCAAACCAGATGTGGCAGAAATATACAAAGCATGGATGAATGGTAGACTTATAAATATGTAAGATAGATTCTGTCTAGCATGATATAGTGAACCAACTTTCTTAGCTGCAAACTTAGCAATTGATTCAGTATACTCTTTCCATTTCATGTCAGCTGAAAGTGTTAGTCCAAGAAGGTGCAATGAGTTACTCTTATAGAGGTTAGCATTAACCATGCTGATGCAAGATAAAAAGGGTTCTCTCAGATCATTAAAAGAGAGAAGTTTCATTTTTGAGGCATTAAAATTAACAAGCGACACCTTGTCCCATTTAAAAACTGATTGTAGATCATTTTTGAGATCAGCTGCCAATTTGACTTTATCAAATCGATCAGATTTACTATAAAGATAGGAGTAAATAGATGTGTCATCAGCATAGATACCGAGTTGAGAAATTGTTATGGTAATTTACCCATGCACACATGGACTGTCCCAGCTATAAATAAGAGCAGGTACTGCCTTTTGGAGAGGAAAGTTTCTAGTAGTTAGCTTGGATAGTCAGACTGAACATTCTTGCTGTAACACTCTTGTTTGTATATGTTTGCATTACTGTTTTCTGTTAATATATTTGTTTAGCTCAATTCCTTTCTTGTGTCTTTATTTCTGGCTCTAACAAGGCCACAAGAGAACTGATGACAACACTTACAGCCATATTCCGTTTAAACTGATGTTTATACATGATATGGCCATAAGCTTTGTATATCAAGAGACACCCTTATTTTACCTGCTGTTTAATCTGCACTGCTTTGACCTTTATATATAAAAAAGGGTGCTGAAATGTTATCAATCCAGTCAAATTCCCAAAATTTGACCAAACGCCAGATATGTTTTAAGGCCTCTTGCTTTGATCAGGTAGAGAAATTTACAACACCTTTTTGCACATAAATTTATTTTTCCTTTCACTTCATTTTATTTTAATTTTTCTCTAACTTTCAACCATTCTTCCTTCAGACTTTTCCTTTCCTCCTCCTACTTATCTTAATTTCTTCCCAGTTAATATTATTATATAGGTCTCTTGGTCAATTGATATCAGCCTCAAACCATTAGGGATCAAAATAATAGTACAGATGGAAGGTGTTTTTAAGATTAATAACTTTTAGTAAATGTAAAACAGATCAAAGCTGTAAATTAATGAAATGACATTCTGATCTTTAAGACAAATAAGAATGTGTACAAGATAAGATCTCTGCCAGGAAGAATCACAGGTCTTAATTAAATTTAATCTCCATCAGGAACCTTGGTCTCAGAAGAGTTGATCTGTCGTGACCCCAAAATGTACTGAGTTCAGCCTAACAGATACAAAATAAGATTTCTACTCACGGCTACCTCAACTACATCTGGCAGCAAGGCCTATGATTGGAAGATTAGAGGTTTTGAGGAGAATGAAACCACCTCTTAATTGCTGTTGTTCCCAGGTCCACCCTGACTGGGGGTGGTAGCAACTGTTAGTCATCAACAATGGGAAAATAGTGAACCTCCAAACAAAAACAAAACACTATGAAAGTATAAAAATACATTTTTATAGTAAAAGTACATTTTTGTATGAAAAATGATCAATAATACATAATTATAGCAAAATGACCAACAATACATTTTATCTGTAGTTGAAAGTATACAATTGTGTTCAAAATATATTTAGTTCGAGTCATAAAATTGTGTTCAGATCATTATTTAGATTTTGGCATTAAATAACCTATAGAGGTGTTGATATGTCGCTAAACAAAATCAATCAATGTCACCTCAGAAAATAAAAAGACCAAGCCACCCTTAGGGTTGACTTAGAAACTGACCTTATAGCCCCCAAATGTAGAAGCAGGCCTCTAAAAACGTTGGTGGGTGCACCAATATAAACAATAAAATGAACCCAGCTGAATTTAGGATATGCACATAGAAGATAACAAGAAGTTCATGCTGTCCAAGAGAATACAAGTTTTGCCTCTTGTCAATATTCTCTAGTGAGAAATATAACTTCAAAATCTTCTGAAGCCATAAGTTACAATTCAACCTATTCTCAGCTTTCCAGAATTCTCTACTTCATATTCATCTCTCTTTGGTGAACAATTTAAGTGGCAAGTTATTTCAACTTATTTATGCTAAATTTAATCAGATTTTTAAAAACTAAAACCTACATTTTTAGTACCAAACACAACTTCTTGATATTACAAGTGAAGACTACAATTTTCTCTCACTCGACAAGTTTCATTGAACTATTCTCATAAGAACATTTCTTTCTTTGAGATTGAACTTTATTTCATGAACTGAAATCTTTTCTGTGAATTCAGATAAAATATTTTCTCTTAAAAGACTTTAAGAATTTCCAGTTAAAGGTAAATAACTCCTGCTATTACAACTTTTACTATATAAAAATCACACACTTGATTGTTTCTATGTCATATAGTAAAATGAAGATTGTTTGTTATTATAAAAAAAGTTTTTGTGTTGTTTCTCTTGTTTGCTTTTTGTTTGCTGACATATTTGTAAAGTAAAAAATGTACAGATTGAATTGTGGCCATACAGTTACATAAACACCTTATCTCTGATGGGCGAGAAAATCTCATACACCCTTGTAAGAAGATAAAAGGTTTGAAGAATGACTGGAAAACACATACCCTTGATTTGGCCAATGTTAATTTGGCAGCATCCAGAAGTGAATAAACAATTATTTTCACATGAGAAATTTAGTGTTGTATTCTCATCACATGTTACTATCATTGCAAATGTGTTTTAGTATTGTAGATGGCAATTCAGTTGTCCTTCATTTAATTTTTATTGATCATTATGAATAATTTTCTTATCTTATAGAAGCTGCAGATTTGACAATTCCTGCTGTTGTTGTCATGGTGGAAGGAGGACCGGGCACATTAAAAACTGTTTATAACTCTGTTCTCCATAACATTCCAATAATTATTGTAAAGGTCTGAAAAATTCCATTTTTGCAAAATATCTTGATTTATTTCCTATTTAGCATTTGTTGAATTGCTTTTCAAATGAAAAGTAAATAACATTTATCACCTTACTATCTTAATGACAATTAATCACAAATATCACAAAAGAAAATAAACTTTCATCTTTTGTTGTAATGCATACATTAAGCATTCACTGTTTTCATAGTTAGCTCCCTTTAACTCCACAAACAAAGTTTGCATAATTAACTCCGTTGGGGTAAGAAGTTCTATGATGTAAGACTTCCGGTTCGGAGGAAGGAAGAGAGGAGGAAAATAAAAGATGTAGCTGGCAACACACACGAGTACTCATTATCTATTTAACCATATGTCTTAAAGTCTCTTTCTCACAGGTCAAACATCCCACCTAAGACTCCAATAAGGCTTTTCTCCTTCTCATCTATTAAATACATAACATCTTTGTTGTTGCTATCACAATGTTTCATCCATTGTGCCCCCCTCATCCTTCATCAGATGTTTGTTGATCTGAGTAAACTTTATAGAATTTTGAACTTAACCCTTTATTTAACCTATGAGAGTTATCGTTCTTATTCCATTGATATCTTATTTAGTTCTTATTTAGTACTGCTCAGTTATTACTCGCCCTGTTTCCAGTGAGTCCAAGTATACACTGCCTGGTACATGGATTGAACTCATAATTACTATTTTGAAATAACTGAGCAGTATGAAATAAGAACTAGACACAAAATCCTTAGATCAAAAGAATATGAACAATTTACTCCCATAGATTAAATAATGAATTCAGTTTGAAATTTCATGATGGTTACCTGGGTTGATAAGCACCTGAAGAAAACGAGAGGGCATAATGGCCAAAATATTATAGTAACAACAACAAAGATGAGGGAAATGGTCTACCTGTAAATAATGATAATGCCTCATAGCAGAAATTTAGAAAATTTCTGCTAACTGTAGTTAGATAAGTGAAATGAAATAGTATTATTTTTCATTGGAATTTTCATTCATTGCTTTTGTTAACAAGTAACATGAAATTTTTACAGCTTTCATTCAATGCTGCAAACTTTAAAAAACAAAAGGTTATTGAGAAAATAAATAAATAAATATGATTTACTGTCCAGTTTTGTTCTCATACAATTCTTCATTTTATTTTAAAACTAATGTTTCTAAAGTCTACTTTTGCTTTGCAGGGATCAGGAAGAGCAGCAGATATCATGGCTTATGCTTATCAAAATGCAATTAAATCAGACGAAGATGAATTTAACAAAGAAGGGTAAACTCTCATAAAATTTTATATCAGTATTATAAAAAACAAACATTTAACCTTAGAACTGACAGAATTCCAACAATGCATTTTTTACATGAAATACCTGGCAGAATTCCCATAATGCATTTTTAACATGTAAGCCACCTGTAATCCCTTATTTAACAAAGATAAAAAAATCGTATTTTTAACACTTTTAAATAGTATTTTATTTGAAAAGTAGCTTTTATATAACCTGTATGATGCTGGGTAGAATTTATTAAACAAATATGACATTTAAAAATTTGTATTCAATCTTGTGAGTACATTGTTGTGGACCATTAGTAAGGTTGTTGTTTAAGTTAGGAAAATAAAAACGTGTCTCTTGAAGTATTCACAACAAAAATAGTAGACTCGGTATGTGAGTTCACATAAATAAATGCAAAGAAACAAAAAGAACTGATATATATCCAAACAAATTATAATGCATTAACAAGAAAGGTATACAAGTGACAATGATGTGTGTGTATGGAATTAACATTAATTCCATTTATAATTTTACGCGCGCGCGAGTTTCCTCCCTTCCTTTCACACTCGTGCGTGTGTGCGCGCGTGTTTTCACCCCTACCTTTCACTCACAGATAAACATAGCAGTAACCTACTTTGAGCTCCTACTGATTTGGACTCATAACAGATTTTGAATTTTTCCCGCGCGTTTTTCGGCGTTTCAAAACTGCTAACGTTTGCAATCCAGTTGCCTCTTAGCTATCGACCGGACTGGATGGGCAACTCATTTATTCCGTGCCCTTAACCCATATGCGGGCCGGAATATCTTATTTCAACAATGTCGACTGCACCCTCTACCAAGACCTTTTCTCCTTTTGAAGCTGCCAACAGGTCGGACCTTTTTCTCCGTTTTCTACCAGAAGACGTTTTAGAGATACGCGACACTGTCGCGAGCAAAAGTTCGTATGCAACTAATGGCGTATTTTTATCCCTCGTCAGGGGCCTAATAAGTATAGGCAGGGATGTCCTACTGAACGAACAAATTGCTAATCACAGGTCAGGACCTTTTTCTCCGTTTTCTACCAGAAGACGTTTTTAGAGACACACGACACTGTCGTCGGCAGAAACTTCGTGTTCAACAGGTGACTTAAACTTACCCCTGGCTTCGAACCAAATAATACAGACAGGGATAGTATTACCTTTGAACAAAACATTTTTCGTCTTTCTCTTTGGGCTCGCCGTAAACCATTCTACAAGACCATGTTTCGTTTCTCCTGGCTAGATGCCCACAGCAGTCCAGAACATTTACCAGCGGTCAATTCAATGTTTACCGAACATTCTTTATAACTTTGAACCTGTACATTTAAAATATGCATAATCACTTACAACTTAAAATATCCACAGTGAGTACTCCTTTCTATCTGTGTGCACATTCTTTTTCCGGAACTGTATAAAACTTTCTTTTCCCGCCTTTGGCCATCTTGTATTTCTATCTTGGCGCGGAACATTTTTCATTGATCCCTACCTTGGGATGAGTTACTCGTTACTGTTTAATTAAAGTTTTGTTTACTCATGTTTTATAAACAGATGTCTTTGTCATTTTTATTTCGGCTATCTTAATACCATTTATTTTATGCACTTGTTGATTGACCCCTTTCCTCTCATGGTTCATTCACGCATTTTACTTATTTTTACTTTGCTTGTAGACTCGGTAGTTTAGTGTGGTGTCTGGCACAAGGCCACTTAGTAATAAACCAGCACTGCACGCTGCCGGGTCTGCAACATGTGTAACAAAAGAATGTGAAAACCTTTTTAGTTCAAAGTATATGAAGTTAGTGAATGTGTGTGAAGTTTGTTCATTTTTCTGTAAGCGACTTACATGCTAATGTGTAAGTGGAAAATGGAAAAAAGAGAGTGAGAAAAAATATCACAGAGTATTTATAGTCTGGAGAGTGTCCCCTAGTAACAGTTTCAGGAAAGTAAGTGGAGTTAACCCCACAATTCTTCTTTCCAGATAGGGAGAATTTTATTCTGCCCATATAGTTTGTGTAGGTTTGTTTCTGTTCTTGTGAACTGAAAAGAAAAGTTGTTAGAAGTGTGGCTGAGATGCATGTTTAAATATGTTGATGAAAATGTGCTTATATTGTCATCAGGGTGCTGTATTATTTTCCTTAGTGGAAGATAGGTCGGTAGTGTAAATTGTCTGTTTCTAATGCTCCATGTTAAATTGTTTTTTTTGCCTGTCCTATTGGTTCCTGTTCATTTGAAGGGTTTTGTTCAGAAAAGCTCATTTGTTTGCTATGAGTAAATGATGTTGGTGCAAACAATTTAATAGAAGCAGTGTTGTGGCAAAGTTAAGCTGATGTAGAATGTCTACCAAGTGTCAAATGCATATCTGAGAACTTTAAGAAATTTGCTATTGTCAATTTTTATATTGTACTTGCAAATTCTTAGTGTTGTATTCGTGACATTGTCAAAGTGAAAAAAGGACAGAGTTGTCTGTTGACGTATGTCACACTTTATCTAATTAGCCCAGAAGAAACAGTGTTGATTATAGTTTGAATGGAGTTGTATTTTTGTTTTGTCATTTTTTTTTGTGATGTTTGTTGGTTGAGGTCAAGTTGAGCATAATGGTACCTGAGTGAAGAAAAGGGTCAAGCAAAAAGACAATAGGTATGAAGAATATGTTGTTTGCTTACTGACGGACCATATTAGTAATTGCAAAAGACATTAGGGATTTTTTTGGTGGGGATCAAATGTGTCACAAAAAAATTATTTGCCGAGTTGGAGAACATCATTATGTGTTGTATAGATATGTTGTAGTGGTTGAAATTTGTGATTTTACTCTTTCATAGGGTCTATTCACAAATTTTATAGCCATGTAAACTGTTTTTGCTAAAAGTTTGTAATGTCCGATGTACATGGCAGGATAGGAAGAGAAATTTATTATTGTTTTTCATCACTAGATCTTGGTTTGAAAAAGGTGTGTAAATGTATCTTTGAGGCTGAACATATATAGCCTTGTGTATTTCTTGTTTTCAAGGTCACCAACTTGTTGCAGGTGTCATGACAATGATATGTGAAAGAAGAAAACATTTAAAGACTAAAAAATGTGAAAACCTTTTTTGGTCCAAAAGGATGTGAAGGAGTGAATGTGTGTACATACGGGTGTTGTGTGTGTGTGTATGTGGTTTGTTCATGTGTTTCCCAGTAGAAAATACATTTTCCCATGAGAGACTTACATGTTAACATGTAAGTGGAAAAAGTAAGAAGAGAGGGAGAAAAAGTATCGTAGAGTATTTATAGTCTAGAGAGTGTCCCCTAGTAGCAGTTTCAGAAAGAAAGTGGAGTTAACCCCACAACATATATATAGTCAATTTGAAGTTATTATGCAAATCATGCAAATCTTAACTCAAATTTTCTTTGAACAATTTTTGTCAAATTTTAAACAGTTTAGCTATCAAAACAAAGAGCTTGAGTTAAATTTTTAATTCATTTTAATGTGTTTATTAAAGTTATTCAATTTATTATAAAAACTACAGTCTGTTGTTATTAGGCAAAACCAGGAAATTACTTTTTACTTCAATAACAAGGTATTAAAATCATTAACAATTGATCAATGCCTATAATAGAACAAATAATAAACATATGATAAGTTTTTGAAACATTTACATCTTAATATAGTTGTAAGGATACAAAGGACCCTTCTTCTCAGTAACAGCCAGCAATCTATTATCCATTGATTCTGCTAAATTGTTTACTTCAGAAGGTTCAATTTTGAATATGGTGGTTTTAATTGCTTCTCATAGGTCTGCTTTGCTGTTATATTATTTAGCATCTCCATAAAATACAACTGATCATAGTTTCAATTGGAATTAGATTGAGAATTTATGGTGGCCATTCCATTATCTTTTCTTCAGTAAACTTTTTACACTAAAAAAATTCACTGGTAACCTTAGAGACAAGAGAAGGAGTGTGACATCCACTGGTGGTCGCAGCACTAATAGGTAACATCCTCTAGTCCCGACGTCAATATGTGACACTGTGCTGTTAACCCGTGGTCAACTCCCAGTTGTGGTGTGAAGCTGTAAGGTTTCTTCCACCAGCGTTTGAGGTTGACTCCTTGTCACTGCCACCAGCCTGTGTCCCGGTCGATCTGGTTGTTCCCGGTTCGATACCAGCTTTGTCGTTCCCAGCTCACCTCTGACACCTGGTTACCGAAGTAACTACTTTGATCTCAAGTCTAACCTACCCACGTTGTGACTTTGATCTTAGGTAGATGAAATCAATCAAATGTCGGGCCACAGTGCAAGCTGAATCCGGGGTGAAGGTGATATCGCACAAGCATAAGTAAAAAAGCAATAAAACAAAACTCAAGAGGTACAAATATGTTGAGAAATAACAAATTATCTTTATCCGTCTGTTATATATAGGAGTGTGTTTCTCTCCCAGCCTGTTTCTATAGATTTGTGACACTTTTGCGTTTCTTAAGCGAGTTTTGGTATCTTAAGTCGTTCGCCAATATAACTTGCTTCTGGTAGGTAGTTGTAGTCGGAAGAACGTGGAATTTCAGATTCTGCGAGGCAACACTCTGACTCTGTCCGGAACTGAACTCCAACTCCAACTGCGAATCAACTGAAAACTGCCTGGGGACGTTTGTTTATATGGGTACCAACCAAAACTCAGTGTGGGGCCTGATGTGGCTTGGGTTCCTCGATAATTCTCAATTCCCAACAAGAATTCTCTTTGTTCTTAGGACCAATGATCTGTCGGCAGTGTGGATGTGCCTAGACTGTCCCTCTTAAAATTATTAACCAGAATTTTGTTTACAAAATCCTTTTTTTTCTTTTTTCCATCAGCCAAAATATTTTCTTTCACAAACCCCAGATTGCCAAATAATTCTTATCACATCTTTCTTTTGGGGACATCCAAAATTCACTTAGTCAGGTCTCTCTACCGACTCATCAACCACTGTCAAAACCCGACATCTGGCTTCTCTGCTAAGTCAACTTTTAACTGGGGGGGGGTCCGTATTTTACCTGAGAATCAAATTCTTTATTTTTCTTATGCCTTAAAATCCTCTTATTACCAGATGCCTATTTTTGATGATGCTGTGTCTGACGTCAACAGTTTGAAAAAGTAATAATAATAATAATTTCCTCTACAATTTTCTTCCTCAGGCCAGAATTCTAACACATACCAGATGACTTCCCTTCGTTGGACCCAAGAATCAAAGTTAAATGATATCTCTGAAAGATATCTAATATTGATTCTCTCTGCCTGTATCGCGGGTCTCAAGCTGAAATTTTTTTTATTACTGCCATGTTTTAGCCGGCTTTGTTTTTCTTTCTGAATTCTGTTTCTCTTGGTGTGTCATTCCCTTACCATGACATCAATCAGTTTTGACAGAATCTCATATCTCGCTTTTTCTTACGGATTTTCTGTCTTGTGCGAGAAGTAAATAAATTTTCTCCGTAAATAAAATAAAATCTTTTTAATGTCGCTCAGTCTATCTTTCGATATAGCTCTTTCTTGCCTTAAGTCTTTCCTGTTTTTAATTTCTATGGTTAATTAGTTAGCCAATTACCATAGCTAAATAGTGTCACAGGAGCATTGTCATGCATAAATATACACTTTGAAATTGCAAGGCCAGAACTTGTACCATTCAAAGAAAGTCTTGTCTATGAAATTACAATAGTTAGCACTTCAGTTTAGCTCCTTCATTTTTAAATAGTTCAATAATGGTTTGGTTGGCAATTCCAGCCCATAAAACCACACTGCTTCCTCTTTTTAGCTACAAGCACATCTGTATCAGATAAAATCCATCTTTTGGCCTATCCAGAAATTCATCCATGAAAATTACTTTAGAAAAGTCAATTTTCATTTATTTCTTGGTCCCAATACCAATACTTTAAAATATTTGCTTTACTGAGAGAAGTTTGCCTAGGTGATTTCTTGAGGATCTATTTGACCAAAAAACATTGAAAATGATTTGAAATCTCCCAGGCCTTGTCCTTATAACTAATGTAAGCCTTAATTTTATAAAATTAAATAAGTGGGGAACTGGTAACAGATGTAAAAAAAAAAAAAATTACCAAGATTTTCTAAAGAAAAAAAAAAAGAAACATTTCTAAAATAATTTCATTCATTCGTGAATATGTCCTGAAATTTTCATTAAAATCAGACAATTATCTGATTCTGCAAGAATTTCCAAATCAATGTGTTTTTCATCACAAAAAGATGTAAATTTATGCTCATCCATAAAACAAAATTTTTAACCAGAATTTCACTGAAAAGGATTAAAAATACAATTTAATAATCAAAAAATTCTTTAATAATAACATAACGATTCTGATGATAAAACATTGTTTTAATGTTTTAGGCATTTTTTTCATCATGTATGCTTATTTTTTAGCAAATCTTTGGTAGTATGTAATTATTTATGATAGGATTTAATTCAAGTAGTCAGAATAGGGATAAAATATAAATTGAAGTGGTTCATTTGTATGTCATGCTTTGTGTGTCAATGTCCGTATTTGTCTACTTAATGATACCTGATTGTCATAGGACATTAAATTGTGTTATTATTTAATAAGAAATAAACCTCTACCCCTGTTCATAAGATCAGAGAGGATTGTAAACCAGATGATAGACAAACCTATCTACACCAATTCAGGAAAAAATGTAAATAAATAGTAAATAAAAGTTCATAGTTTGAGGCGGGGACAACAGATGTATAGAGTTGAAGTCAACTTTAGAAGGAACTGGAAACCCAATCCTAAACAGAAAACAAGGGATAAACCTCTACTCCTGTTCAAAAGGCCAGAGAGAAATGTGAATCAGACAGTAGGCAAACCTATCTACTCTTTTGTAGTTCTTCAGTCTAGTGTTTCATCCCACCTGTATCTCATGAAATCAGATGAAGTTGTTTATATTCATTCCCTTTCAGCTGAATGAAACACTAAATTAAAGAAAGCCAGAAGGATGAAGTGTCTTACCTGCAAATTATATACAAATTATATACTTATTTTGGGCGGACCTCTTTACCTTACTTTTTACTGCTTGTTCTCTTTCAGTATGTACACACAAGAACTTGCCTGTGGAATTTTTAAATTTAGAAATCATTCAGATCATGATTTTTTTTTAATTGGCAGCTCTCATAAAATTGATTTGAACCAAAATTTACATGCACATGCTCCAAGTTAGCAGGAAGGCCAAGACTGACTTTGCATTTCTCAACTCTCATTGATAGTGGAAATAATCGATTTTTTTATGCTTCTACGACAGTTTTCATGTAGTTTGAGGCCATTTTGTGCTGGCCAGAGTGAGAGCCAATAGCTGGCTGCCACGAATTGGCAGGAAGATTCTATTGGCCAGCATGAGAGCCAACAGCTGACTGACACGAATGTTAACTAGCATGCAAAAAAAATCAATAGCTGCATTCGTCACAAGTGGAAAAAATTTAAATCTGCATGGCACTTTACTCCAATTGCCTCATTTGCTTGCTTAAACTCAACATTGATTCTGATTCTGCAGAACTGGGTTGGGTGTGAAAAAGTATTTGTTGTTAACATACTTTTTTCATCGGTTTTTACAGTTACAAGTTCTTTTTTAAAGCTGATCGTTTTGTGTTCATTTTGTTTAGTTCTTTTTTTGTAACAGATTTAATGTTTAGTATAGAGCTTAGAAAAAATTTGCAGTGTGAGGCAAGAAGTAAGACATGTAGCAACATCAGCACGGCAAAGAGCACTTCTTTAAAGGCAAGGAAGGGCAAAAATATTTTAAGTCAAGTGATAGCGATTGCTGTATGAGTCATACGAGTTTTGAATCAAGCTTAGGCAATGCCAGGACATGCTGCTAGTATATATATATATTTTATTTTTATATATATATATATATATATATATATATATATATATATATATATATATTATTTTATATATATTTATTATATAGATATATATATTTTTATTATATATATATATTATTATATATATTATATATATATTATTATAAATGTCTGGGAACATTGCTTGTGTGTTTGCCAGAAGTCATATATAGAGAATGGGTGAAAGAAAAATGTAAATTTATAATTTTGTAGAAAGGTGGGGAGAGAAGGAAAAGGAGAAAAAAATTCTCTCTTTCCACCTCCTTCCCATGATTGTATTCATGCTTATTTATATTTCAGCTTTCTTTAAACAAACAATATTTTAAATATTTTTATTTCAACTTTCTTCAAACAGGCAGTTTTTTTAAATGTTGTAAGCAACTTCAATATTTTCAAATCTGAACTTTCAGTGACTCAACAGGTCACAGGTAGTATACTTTAAACAAGCCAAAAATATTGTAAATAAATGTGTTTTGCAAATAAATATAAAGTTTAATAAAATGTATTATATCTTTCTTAAACTAACTGCAAATAAATGTATTTTTAAAATATCTCTACTTTGACAAACTCTACATGAAACTAAATGTAAAAAGTAAACATGAAACTAAATGTAAAAAGTAAACACAAAGTTAACCCAACAGGTGGTCTAGTATATATATATATATATATATATATATATATATAATCTATTTATTTATTATTATTCTTATCATATTTTGAAGCATAAAAATATCTTGAAAATTTTCCCTGCATCCTACAGGACAACACTTATTTTTATTTTACACTTATTGAAATGTCCTCTTTATGTCAGGAATAAAATGTGTATTTAATAAACACACACACGGGTTGATCTAAAAGTAATACACACTATTTTATCATGCTGATATAATAGCAGTAGAAATTAAGCTTTCCAACCAATAGCCTATAATATTTTTTTTCCTTTTAATTGATAACAGTTGAGCAAAATAGCCTCTGATATCAAAGAGTTAAATGTACAGGTGTTAAAAAAAATAAAAATGCACCCACTGACATTCAATGAAGCTTGCTGAGTGTTTATGAAAACCAAACAATGTATCTGAGCACAGTTAGGTTGTGGTTAATGTATTTCAGCAGTGATGACTGCAATATGTGTGAAAAATTGGTTTGCCTCCATTAGTGCAGAATGTTAAATGTGTGGTGTGCACCTTCTTTTTCATCACTGGCAAAAAATGCATAGCCAGTGTTAGTGACTGTGGAAAAGTAGTGTTTTGTAGCTGAAAACTTGCTCTGTTCAACAGAAACAAAAGGCATTATTTCCAGATCACCCATGATATATATATATATATATATATATATATATAGGGAAAAGGTTATAATTGTTTCAACAAAAGAAAAATATATATTTTAAAAAAAGAGAGAGAATGCAAACATTTTTGGCTATAATGTGAATTTGTTTCAGTGTATATATTCATCATGTTTTTGCTACACAGGTTTCCAATCTTGTGACCATCTTCAGGCAAATTAAAGGAATCAATTTTCCTTATGTTCTTTTAAGAAATATTTCATTGTTCACTTTCTGTATTTGTAGTGATCCTTGAGCTTTTTTTTTTTTCGACTGTTGGCAAAAGTGACTTTCTGCTTAAGTGGTAATAAAATCGTTTGGTTTGGTTTTATCGGTGGCAATGACAGATGTATTGATGATAGATGTCTCTCTATCCACACATCACCCTGGAGATAGTCAAATCTATTTCCATTTCTGTGTATCATTTGTGTGCCTGTGAGCATGCATGTCCTCGCTAGCTTGTACATGAATCAGTATACACACATATATATGAGGAGTTGCTGAAAAATGAGAAAACCTTTTAAGCAAAGATAAAAAAAATCTGAATTTTGGTTAGATTTGGGGAAGTATGTTGGACTGAGAACTTTCCAGTCCCCTGTATCTAAGTGGGTCTCTATTCATCTGCTTTTCTCAATATATACATTATGCATGTACATTTATAATTTCTTTTTTAAATATCTACCCATTCCTTTATATTTATATACAACCTTTTACAGTTACTTTTTTGTATGTTTTCTTTCTTGGTCTCTTTCACTATTTTTTTTTCTTTTAGGATTATTTCTGATCAGCTGAAAGAAGATCTCAAAGAGAAAATCATTAAAGAATTTGGAGAAAAAGAAGTTGAGAAACTGTTTAACTTTGTTCGTGATTCCTTAAAGAATCTCAACTTAATAACTGTCTTCGAGATGGGTTCTAAGGATTCTGCACGTGACATAGATATGTCTGTGTTGAAAGCACTTCTGAAAGGTAAGAATCATCCAACTGAATATTCTTTTAAGTTCAGAATAGCAATTTGTATAATCAAAAAAATTGTCAACATCTATTTAGGTTTTTGTGAATAATCTTATCCCAAGGGAATCTGTAGTAGTAAAGAAAAGACTGTCGACTGATAGTAGCAACTGCAATAGATTTCTTCTGTTTTTTTTGGCCGCAACACTTGTAGCCAAATCGCAGTTCAAATGAGAGTCCAACGTAACAATCCAACACACAGCATAGAAACGACAAAATGGGGGTCACACATCCAACCTTCACTTCTCACCAACAATGTGTGTTCGTTCCACCAAGCTCAAAAAAAAATCATCTCCTTTTATAAGCGAAAAACAACGACTTCTGTTCACCGAGAGAATTTTCTGATTGGTCACGCCATTCAGGGGAGAGAACATTAGCATAGCTTCTAGTCATTGATGTAAATTTCTGCTAACTACTTTTTGGTAATTTTTCTTCGGCAGATCGCACATAAAACACAAACTTTTTTTCGGGGTCCACGATGGCTTTCATGATGGCCAGCGCCACATTGAGTCTGAATCCCATTTGGGTTAAGCAGTATCTCCTTCCATTAAGGATCACCGTCTGAAATGGCCACAGTGACCGGTACACGCATACCTGCAAGTAGGCCTTTCGAAGGTCAATCACAGAGACATTGGATCCCTTCGTTCACCATTCTCTCAATTTTTTTGTTCATGAGCTGTGTATATGTCTACATGTTCGTTCAGTTCTCTATAATCTAGTACAGGACGCACCTTTCCCTTGTTCTGCTGTACCATGGCCATCAACGGGATGAGGCCTCTTGGAGCACTAAGCTCTTTCTCAGGATACGGAGTCAGCCATCCAAGGTACAGCCACACCAGCAATTCGCGCTGGTATTCTTCCTTGATGCGTTCGGGCACCGAATACTCTGACACTTGGTCCTGGAGCTTTTCTGGTGGGTTATTTTCCGACAATTTCCAAAATGCTGTCCATGTCTTGGTCCTTTGGTCGAACTTTGCGCTAAAATCGGGCTCGTTGATCTTCAAAGTAGCACAGATGGGTGGATCAGAAAACTTGACTTTGCCCGCCTCTGTATTGTGTACGCTGCCCAGCTCCTTAATAATGTCCATCCCAAGGAGCAGATCAAAACCTAATAACGCGCTGTCCACGACCAACACACTGACTGTGACGGGGTCACCGTTGTTGATACTGAGTTTGATGTTTCCAAGTCCCCGGCTTCTGAGAGCCTTTCCATCGGTCGTTAGCACGTCTATCTTTTGTTTGCTCCACTGTCGACAAATCGAACCGTTCGTGAGTGACTGAGAGCAGCCCGAATCTATTAAAGCGGTACGCGTTATTCCATTGACGCGCACTTTAATCACAGGTAGCGCCTCTTTCATGCTCGGTGCGGGGAAGAGACCGGCACTGACATCGCGTCCCCCATTCCATTTGCCGGACACTTAGAGGCAATATGACCTATTTTATGACATTGGAAGCATCGTAGATCGAGATGTGCCTTCGCGCTGACCCGCTGCGCATTTCTTCGCGTTGATAGCAGCAGTCTCCGGCAAAATTCGACCCAGATCACCGATAGCAGGTGACATCGCCATGGGGACGGATGGCTGGGTTTGGACCCTCTTTGACTTTAATTGGTTGAACGACTGCGGCCACTGGTTCATCAGCCTCTTTTCCGTTGATCATAACAGCACGGGTTCTGGTTAACAATTGATTGAGCATCAGGTCTTCCATTCTGGATGATGCACGGAGTATCTGTTTAACATGACTAGGCAATCCAGACGCGAAGGCACATGTCATCCATTCTTCAGGAAGCGGTGCGATTGGAACGGCGAGCTTCTTTAATTCTGCCAAATATATGTCTACTGTTTCGCCAGGTCGCAGACGCTGCGCCTGGAAATGGTTGTAGGCCACAAACCGGTCAGTTCCAAACGCGGTTAGTAGGGCGTGCTTTATTTGCTCAATTTCACTTTTCTGTTCTTTGTTCAGTTGCCTATACACAGCAAGGGCACCGCCTTTCAATCGCAGTGGAAGAATCCGTTCAATCTTCATGATCTCGCATAATTCACAGACCCGTTCCACATTTTCGATCCATTCAACCACAGACTGTCTCTACTCGTATCCCTACTGAATTCGGGGATCAGTTTTATGTCGAACAGTCTTTCCGCCATCTTGCTACTTTTTGGTAATTTTTCTTCGGCAGATCGCTCACAAAACACAAACTTTTTTTCGGGATAACTGATTATCTCTTTCACTACAGAATCCTAGATTTTACTTGTACAATGAATTTCAAATGAAGAATGTTCCAACCATTTAAATTTGCATTCCAAAGACTAAACTGAAATATATCATTTTAATAACAGAAATGTTTAAAGAAAAGATTTAAATATGATTTGCAAAAGACCTAAATTTAATATTTAAGCTGACAACAGATATTGTTATCCTTGAAACTGATAACAGAATTTGGAATAAAGATTTTAGTTTTCAACAATACAAAGAATGAGAAAAGAAAGTTGCACCTATGATATCATTTTGGCTGCCATGGGTTTTGCAGTAAATCACTAAATCATCCATAACGTTTGTATTATCCTCTCAAATTACACCAAAATCTCAGACAATAACAAATAATATCGTATTTATTGTCTGTGAAAATTATAGAATATAAAATAAAACAACTTTGATAAAAAATTATACCTACTTTTCTGACGAAAACAATGCCGTTCTGAACATTTTGGCCGCAACTGTATATCAAGAAGCAATAAATTGTACACAGACAAGTATTTACAAAAAATGAATAAAATGGTTTTGAAAAAAGTTTTATTTAGAGTCTACAATTTTAAGTTTTAAGGCTTTAAAATAGTTCTACAAGAATGTGTGTGTGTCTATATGTGTAAAGGTGTCTATGATAAGGAGAAATTTGTTCATATACATATGTTCAGAATGAGAGGAAGGCTGACTTGATGATTTCAAGAAAGATAAGATCAATATTCGACAAATTGTTGCCTTGTCCAAAAAAGAAAATGCATAACAAAGAGAATTTCTGTGCAAAGAAGTATACACCTGGTGATAAAGTTTTCTTTAATGTTTTTGGGAGGATGGAGTTATTTCAAATAGAATTGGAATAGTAATCTATACGGTGAAAGGAAAAATATGTGTATGCAAAAGGCATGTAAACCAGTTAAGACCAAGATACTCTGAAATTGTTCAACAGGGTGATGAAGAAACTCTGATGGATTGTCCTGTATGACACGTTTGAAATAACAGCATTCCCTAACATACCAGAATGCATGGATACATCTCCTACACTAGCTTTGTCTGTAGGAGTTTGAAAGAGTACAAGGAAAAGAAAACCCACAATGCAGTTAAGTCCAGAACCTAAAAAGAGAAAGTATTAGAAAGCTAAATTTTCTTGAGAAAAATTTCAACACAGTGGGAGGTGATGTAATGGAATAACCTGCCACCCCCATGAGTGACTACACTATAAGTAGTAACTACCTATATATATCTGTAATTCAATGGACTACAGAGTCTAGCTGGGATCTGTTAAGTACGACTCAGACTTATGTGAGAACTACCGACCTTCCAATAGTAGCACTCTCTACTTGATTGACTTGCAATGACTTTATACATGTTACCTTTATTGTTATTCTACTGGTTTTTACAATAGACCTTTACTTATTTTATCCACCATGTTGTTCAAGTATATATTCCTATTAGCACGAAATATAACAGGAAGAAAGATAATAAATTAGTGACTGGTATCTCTGCCTCTGTTGGTTTGTACATAGTGGTCAGCAGTGTTTCTTTGAAGTTACTGCAGTACAAAGTCAGTCCTTTGGTATGAGCAAATCATCTAGTACTTAATTTTCCATTTACTAGTTCTTTTTTTATTTATTTTTGGATTAACTATCAACTGACACACTTAGGGTTTTTGAAAACTAAATAGAACCAATTGATTAGTTAACCATTCTAATTGAATGAATGAACATTTGATGTGTTCTCTACTGTTTACACTTTTTTTTTATTATTTTTTACTGTTGTCTTTATCTTTGTTGCCATATTAACAATGTTTTAGCCATTGTACACTCCGAGTGTCTTTTGTCCACTAAGGTAGATAGTTATAGTTCCATGTGCCATGTCTCTTCCAGAGATCTCACTATCAGTTATTTCCCTTTAACTCAACTCTCCAAGTTTTTGTTTACCTCTGCTGTAGCCGGGAATTGAACTCACTTTTTGGGTCACTGGATACAACCAACAATTTTATCCATTGGCCCATGTGTCCACTGCATCTGTTGAAATCAAACCTCGAAACCAGGCAGCATTATTATGTTTTGGGGGAGCTCTTCTGTTTATATATATTTTTTTAATTCTCTGGTTGATTGCTAAATGTTTACAATGTCTCCTGCCATTGGTCAGTTGTTGTGTGGTGATATGTGTGTAAACACATATGCTTACTTCAAGTTTTTCATTAGAAAAAAAAGGTAATTTCAAAATATTTGTAAGTTAAGATTTTCTATTATTGCATTTAGTTTTGTCAGATTTTTATAAAATTTGGTCATATCAAATTTTACTAACCTTAAATCAAGTCTTTTTCTATGTGCATCATCTTTTTAAACTTGTCAAATACCAATCCAATTATTTTTTGATAAATTTGTTAATCACTTACACCTTGTTCATTTCACTCTTTCTTCACTTACTACCAAACCTTCCTTTTTTATAACTAACACCTGTCAATTTTAGTAATAGAATAAAGTTGTTTTTTTTTTTTTCAGCAAGGGAAAATAAATTGGAAAACTTGCGTTTAATACTGGAATGGAATCGAATTGATGTAGCTAAAAGTGAAATTTTTACTGATGAAACCCAATGGCCAGTAAGTGATCCTCATTTGTATTATTTTTAGCTTTTTGCACAAAAATCATAACTTTTATCCAATGTCTATAAATAAAAAGTCTAAAATTATCCATGTTGTAGGAGTATCAAAATATTCTTGAAGCCAAATTTTTATGTCTTGCTTTTATTCTTATAAATATTAGAAAAAAAAATGAACAAATATAACAACACTTCACATAAACAGTAATACATTTATTTCATGGATTTAAATTCATTACTACTATAGGCATAAGAATTACTATTTATATTTCATGTATTCATATACTTACATATTTGGTGATTGAGTAACAAGCCTTCTCAAATTTAGAGTAATTTTCTCGGGATTCTTCACACCCCAGTTGTACTTTGGTCTGGACAATTCCAGTTTTATTTTAGATTTCTAATCTATCAAGCTTTGACACTCATAGCTTTAGCACAATTCAGTGTGTCAATTTATATTGACACAATTCTAATGCCCATGTTCCTCAGCTCTTAGGTGAGGTCCTGGTATTTTTTAGAATTTTTCACTTTTATTTTCACCATTATTGTATCTTTTTTTTTTTTTTTTATTATATTTCCCTAATACAAAATCCAAGAGCCACTCAAAGTAAGTGGTTACTGTATGTTGTTGTATGAACATAAGAAAAGGCAAGAAGTGAAGTTCATGGACTTATACAGGAAAGATAAAGGTTTACCCTAGACTTGAAGAGGTCAAGATTCTAGTGATGGGATAATAAGTATCACTGGGTGTACAATTTGGTAGTTTTTTGTGATTTTTTTTTTTGCAACTACCAAATAGGGTAGGGTTGCTTGGATGGGTTGGATTGTCAGTTCAAGAGTCTTGCAAGCCATTGTCAGTAAGTTTATTCTTTACTGAATGCTTATAGAGGTGGCATTTTGTCAAAAATGTATACTTTCCACAACAAATAACACTTAAAATAAGTATAAACTTATTCCAGAGACTCTCACTCAGTCTTTTACTGATTGTACAAATCACCATCCTGTTAAGATAATTGAGTTATCTTCCCTTGATCAATTGCATGGTTGAGGAAGAGAAAGATTAAGAATGGCGGTGCTAGTAGATAATCTACATATCAGCAGTATTAGCCAATCAGGATCCACCTTGGGGTAAGCAGGTAGCAGGAACTGGCGATGTAAGTTCAGTGTTGAGAAGACCTTAGAGCTGACAACCTCATTATAGGAATGCTAGAGGAAATTGACACATCCCTTCCCCACAACCCGCAAAAAAAAATTTTGTTTTGATTCCAATTTACATAAAAACTAGGAAAGGTCCTGTTTATATTCACTAAGCCCAAAATGTGGAATAATGCTATGGTGATGAGAAAATAACATTAATCCTGATTTCAGTATTTTTGTTATTCACCTGGTACAGTCTGGGTGTAGGTAGGTGACACTTGGTACATATTATTTGTTTCTACTTCACTTTAAACAGCAAGAACTCTATCCTAACACCCCTCTGCCCATTTCTACCTTGATCCATATAACTGTGACTCGGTCTATATAAGCCTATGGCCAGAACTTCCTGCCTTCCAGCTAAATGACACTTTCATTTATTTATTTACTCTATCTCCTTTCTATTACTTCTGGGGAGTTGTTGGTTGCTTATCATATCTTACTTTTAGGCTTTACTGCTAGTCATAAAATATCAAATACTTCAAACTCTGATCAAATCATTTGTTATTCACTTTACTAAGTTGGTCCTAATCACAGCCAGGTTTGATTGTGTCACATAAGCATTGGATACAAAAATAAGTCTGCATGGTAAATTTGTTTAATTTGTTGATAAATACAAAATAATTCTGAAACGAACATTATTGTTGTCATTGATGAGTTGACTTGAATTTGCCTGACTAATTTGCTTTCTTTTACAGACGGGTATGTTAGATAACTTGATGTTTTCAGCTCTGCTTCTTGACCGAGTTGACTTTGTCAAACTGTTCCTGGAATATGGAGTCGGTCTAAAGACCTTTTTGACAAAAGATTGCTTGGAAAAACTTTATCAGGAGGTAAGTATCTCTAAGTTCATGCCTGTTACCTGTTATGTTTTTCAGTCTCAATGATTTTGATATATACAAACTTAAATCATAAGTGAATATCATATGTTGCCTGGCTTATTAGGAAACTATTTTCTTGTTAAAATAAATACCCCAAGCTTATAAACAGGACTTTATGAGGTTTTTTTTTTTTTAATGCCATCTTATTTTCAATAGAGATTTATCCAATAATTTTTGTTTTATGCTTGCATAATCTAAAATTCACTGAATAGTGCAAATAAACTTTTCTTAATGAATCAACAAATATTTTTGACCTTTCATTTAGTTGGTTAATACCAAAAGATTTGTTAATATGAAATAAAAATAAACATGTTTTAAATGTTTTCTTTCAACATGAATCCACTTTATTATCTTTCTTAAAATATTTTATGTCTTAAATGCTCCTATTGATAAAATATAACTGTTTTCCAATTTGTTTTTTAATTTTTGGAAATAGACAATACAGATATTTTTACTGTTATATCCAGCATATGGTTGCAAAGCAAAGAGCAAACAAGGATTAAAATTTCAACAAGCATGTATTGATCAATTTTCAGAATATATATCAAATACTCAATGCCAGTATATGTAGTTGTATGAAAAGTATTTATTTGGTATGGATTCTGAGGCGAATAAAGAAAACAGTAACCAGCGAGTAAATTCAAGCTCTCCCAACTGGTATTTCAACCATGAGTTGTTCCTTCTTGAGTTCTGTCTCCAAATCACACTAACTGCCCGTTCTTGCCGTCAACCGTGAATGTCCCTCGAAGAACTCCCCAGCTCGGAAAAAAGTAGTTGCTTTTATAGTTGTTCATATACCCATAATCCCTTGCGTCTTCATGTGATCCCATAATTCATTGCGTCCATGTCCCATAATGCATTGCATCGTTATTGCATAAAAAATGCGATGCCAGTCCCCCTCATTCTTTTCGTTATCTGGCCGAGGATGGATTCGGCAGAGCGGTAAGTGCTTTTTTTCTCTCCCTCATTTCAACTGCAGTAGCTTTACATGCTAAGCAAATACGGGCTCTTTTTTGGCGAGGACAAGGCAAGTCGCAACCAGTTGTGCTCGTCCCAGGTTCTGTCTCATGTCCGCCACAGATTCACCAGTACGAGTTCACAAGGTATATGCAGTTAGTAGCATAAGTGGGGTATAATTGGCAAAGTTGGTCCATCCATCTTCAAGGTTGAAATTTGACGCCAGTGCAGTGTGTGGATGGGCTGGTGGTCATGAGAGTGAAGTTGATGTGATGCCCACAAGATATTAAATCAAAATGCTCTTGGTGAGGTAAGATATTTTTACCACTGTGGTTTAACAGGTGTTGGCTATTTTGAATGTGGGTATAGCTGTTAAATCCTGGAGCAGATGTGTTTGGTGGGTTGGTTGACCAAGGTCATGGTGGTTACAAGAGAGGCCTGGAGTGGATTAGTGAAGTTCGATCAAGCAGAAATATCTCTGTTGGATTCTGGTCAGATGGGAAATGAAATGAAAATGATAATAACCAGACTGTTGCTAGTAAGGCCTGGAGTTGATGGATTTTTGGGGTCAGTTGACGGAGGTCATGGTTGTGATGATAAGAGAGAGGCCTGGATAGTGATTTTTGCTGAGATTTGTTTTGTGGGGTAGATGCAATGCTTGGAACCCCCATGAAGAAGACGACTTTTCTTATTTTAGGCATTACTTTAGAGTGAAATGGAAAAATATCTAATTTACCACATAGTATAATATTACTAATAATTGATTCTATATGGCTGTTCTTGCATGCCTTAAAAAATGTGTTTATGCTGAACAGTTTTTAGCCTGATCAAGAGATTCTCCTCTCCCCACAACCCCAAAAAATAAATTCTGATGTTTGGTCATATGAGTCAGGTTGAGACATTTTCAATAGCCTTCAATATTGTTTTTGAGGTTGATGTCCTAATTATTTGACAATCAAAAATAGAAGATAATATGAAAAAGTAATCTTTTTCATTTTTTTCCTTTTAGACAAAAATGACACCTTTGCAGGAATCTTTGTTTAACAATGGAAATAAAGATAATGTAAGTTTTTTTCTTTGTTTTAATCACATTTTCATTTTTATGAGGCTTTATATATCAATAGAATTGTCAATTTTTACAGTAATTGTGTGCATTTTATTTTTACAGGACAACACAATTGATATAAAGAAAGTAGAAGATGTAATCAATGATCTTATGGGTGCTCAGTACTTCCAGTATTCATATTATCACAAAAACAATGAGCCCAAAGAAAGTACGTAACTATATTCTTAAGTAAGCATGTTATTATAAATTATAATTTTGAGTAAATTTATTGAAAAAGTTGGATTCTATGCAGGGCCAGGAAACATAATTTAGGAAAGTTTCACTTTAATCATGTTGTATTCGATGGTATGTAAGACAAGGGTGAGAGGAAGAGGGGAGAGAGAGGAGAAAATGAAGGAAAAATGAAATGTAAGACAAGGGTGAGAGGGAAGAGGGGAGAGAGAGGAGAAAATGAAGGAAAAATGAAATGTAAGACAAGGGTGAGAGGAAGAAGAGAAAGAGGGAAAAATGAAGGAAAAATAAAATGTAAGACAAGGGTGAGAGGAAGAGGAGAGACAGGGGAAAATGAAATAAAAATAAAATGTAAGACAAGGGTAAGAGGAAGAGGAGAGAGGGGAAAATGAAGGAAAAATAAAATGTAAAACAAGGGTGAGAGGAAAAGGAATGAAGGAAAATGAATGAAAAAAATAAAATGTAAGACAAAGGGTAAGGAAGAAGATGAGAGAGGAAAATGAAGGAAAAATAAAATGTAAGACAAGGGTAAGAGGAAGATGAGAGAGGGGAAAATGAAGGAAAAATAAAATGTAAGACAAGGGTGAGAGGAAGAGGAGAGAGGGGAAAATGAAGGAAAAATAAAATATAAGACAAGGGTGAGAGGAAGAGGAGAGAGGGGAAAATGAAGGAAAAATAAAATGTAAAACAAGGGTGAGAGGAAAAGGAATGAAGGGAAAATGAATGAAAAATAAAATGTAAGACAAGGGTAAGAGGAAGAGGAGAGAGGGGAAAATGAAGGAAAAATGAAATGTAAGACAAGGGTGAGAGGGAGAGGAGAGAGGGGGGAAATGAAGGAAAAATAAAATGTAGATAACTAGAGAAATAATTATTTTTTAAATATCTCACCATAACACATATGGATTCACTTTCAGTATTTGATAGATGCACATACTCATATACAAAAGTGTGTAAATGTCTTAACATGAATGATGAAAATCATGTATCACATCGAAACAGTTTTCATACAGTCAATGAAGTTAAGCAATATTGAGTCTGGTCAGTACCCATATGGGAGACTACTTGAGAATACTAGGTGTTGAAAGTTTGGATGTATAGGTGGTGAAAGCTTGGAATTGGAAATTGGAGGGCTAAATTTCAATTCCAATCAGGTTCATTATATTTACTTATGCTTGAAAAAGGTATGATTCCATCTGTTCTTTCCTCAGGTAAGACTAGTGTCAGTAAAACATTATTTTCAAAGAATTCTTGCAATCTGAAAATATTTTCTGGTTTTAAATAACTTACAGAAGTTTGACAAACATTAAAAAAAACAAATCAATAAATCAATACTTGATTGTAGTTACTGGTCTGGGTATCATTTTTTTTTTTTTTTATATAATATATCATATCTTAACCAAGCAGATGTAAAAAAACAGACTGGATTGAAAATATGTTTTCTTCATAATATTTTCATAAATTCAAATATTAATTCTTTCTGGTTTTTAAATTGTGCTGATTTCATGCCTTCTTTAAATTTATTTCATCTATTTCCAATGTCACTTAAATGAACAGAAAAGGTAAATGAGTAGATAAACTGGGAGTGAGAGAGGAACAAGTAAGTGAGTAGAGAGTAGATAGTCAGAAGAAAAGAGAGAGAGTAAAGGAGAGATAAAATGATTAAAAGAAATATTTCTAATTTTATTTTTCCATTTACAGAATATTCATTTCCTGCTAAGGAACTATTTTTGTGGGCTGTTCTCATGAACCGAAGAGAAATGGCATTTTTATTCTGGAAGGAAGGAATGGTAAATGTTTTAAATTTTTTTTTGGTCCATATCCAATCTCTCAGCAACCAGATAGATATTAACTGTATCAGTGATTTCTAATCGGTAGTTGTTTTTATCTTTTTTTTTCATTATAAATGAGTGGGTCAGTCTGATTGGTTTGACAAGGTTAAATTGGCAACTGATCTCAAAAATGACCTACAATCTGTTGCTAACTGGGGCACAAAATGGGTTGTTAATTTTAATGCCTTCAAAACAAAACTCCTCTCTTTTAATCTTTTTAATTTCTGCCTTTCATCAGAATGGCTGATGCTAACCTCTAGAAGAGTGACTCATTGCTCCTTCTCAGGCTAACATTCTCTACTTACATGAGGTAGAAATTTTATATTGAATCAATTGCTAGGTCTGATGATAGAAAAATTGGTTCATTGTGTTGTGCAAGACAGTTTTTTTTTTGCCAAAATCTTTCTTACCCATTTATAAGTATCCCATTCAACCATGCATTGAACTGCCAGATCTGGTTTTGTGCTTCAGCTATACATTTAGAGATTCTTCATAAATACAAAGAATATGCACTGTTATTGGTCCTGACCTGGCAACTCAATTTCAGTTGCTTTCCCACTGCAGTAACTGTGACTTTTCATGGTAATTGTTCTGATGAGTTTTTCTTTTTGGTACCTAGATTATGAATTTAAAAGAAGTACTTTATAGGCATGATGAAGTAATGGATAGTGGCTCGGATTGAGGAGTCGGAGAACTGAGTTTAAATTCCAGTCAAATCCATTACATTCACTTACATGCTAATACCCTTGAGAAAGTTATGAATTCTCTTCTTCTTCCCCCAGCTATGGGTAAATAGTAAGGCAGACCGAGTTTTATAGTTGTGCTATTGTAAATGGCAGTTAATGTTTGTGTTTTTAATAAGTATTTAATGTACAGAAGTTGATAGAGAACCCATTTAAATCAATACAAAAATATACCAACTTCTATATGCAAAATACTTGCCAAAATATAAACATGATACATGCCTCTAACTGTAGAAAATATCTTATGAAAACATTGAAACCTTAATCATAAAAACAAAAATTAACCCTTAATAACATCAGCTATGAACACAGCCACACTGTGATAACTATATTCAAAAATATCTATGTATCAACAACCTATACACCATGTATAAAAAATTTTTTTGTCCATATGCAAAAAAAGTTAACAGAAGTACCTTAGCAGTCATTTTCAATGATGTACATGTTTCATTAAATGTGACAGAGAAGGAAAATTTTATAGATTTGCCCTGAAGTAATTCTAAGCCATGCTGGGTGGAAGTAGTAATAACTCTATGTTGGACTGTCTTTGAAAGACAGCCAGCACATTTAGCCATTTTCAAAGATGGTAATGTTTAGAATTGACTTAAACTGTTTTATGTAAAATGTTTCAGTTATTTTCAGAAGTCTTTTGCAATTAGATGTTCTCAGAATTACAGTGTTATCCACAAGGATTTTTCTTATTAGTGCAGGTAGTTGTGTATGGGTGTTCAACTTCTTCCTCATGGTACTGAGATCACATAAGTGTTTTTCAGCTTTGTGTGACTGATGTAGCCTTCATGTTTATTACAAAATTCATAGTCTTGTAGGAGCAGCAAAATTGATAACCTATATTGGTGGTCTGAAGTTTGGATTTGATAGTCATGTTGTTATTGGTAATTTTGAAGTTGGCAGTTTTTAATTTTCTATAGTATATTGCAAGTTTTACATGTTTGCTCAGGTTGACAGGTGAATTGTATTGTTTATGATGTGTTCCGTGGCAAATTTGTTTTGTTTATAATTATTGTGAATCTAATATCAGTAAAAGATATTAATGTGTTCATGTGCTGTATTTTTAGTGTTAATGCTATTTAATTTCTATAGGAATAATCTTATTTAGCTATTGATAATGTAGTTTGAATAATTATTGTTAACCAATATTTGTTTTATATGTTTGTGTTTGCTGAAAAATATTTTTCAGGAAGAGGAGGTTAGGTGTGCTCTGTTTAGGAAGACTTTATATCTTTGTGGACATTCACTATTATAATTGAGGAGGCAGGAATTCTTGTTTTGTTTTTTTGTTTAAACAACAGAAAATAGGATTTTATTGTTAACACTAAGTCCATATGATTACTTTTTTTTCTAAAGATGTTTTTGGGTTTTTAGTTTCTTTACTATTTTTTTGCTAATTTAAAAAAGTCATCAACATATGCATAAATGTGATTTGCTTATTTGTTTTCAGACGTTGTTTTCTGCATGATCTATGTAAAAGTTAGAGTAGGTAACACATAAGAGGTGGCTCATACTAATTCCATTAGCTTGGGTGTAGATATCTTGTTTATAGTGTTGTGGAAGCTTCATGTTGAAATTATTTTGATCACTACTCCTTGTTTGACTAAGAGTAGTAACTACAATATTTTACACAAGTAAAAGACAAGTGTAAGGAAATAGAGTGAATTTCAACAAGGTAATATTTTACATTTTTGTTTTTATATAAATGAGTAAAAAGAGAGAAAATACACAGGTATGCATGTAAAAGAATAAAGATATTCAAAGTTAGAAATTGTGTGGGTGGTATACAAAGTTAAGTCACTAAGGAGAAAGTTCTCCCCATGCTCAGGAACAAAGTTCTATGCATGTCACCACTACAGCAAGCTGGGTAGAAAGAAGAAAAGAGGATGAAGAAAGTAAGTGTTTTTATAAGTGTAGTGATTTTCCAAGTGTAGCTCAGATGTTGCACAAGGCTGAAAGTATGGGGTACCCAGTGAGGATCGAACTCGCTACTCAGTCAATTATTCTAGCGAGACAAGCTCGCTAACCATTACACCATGTCGAGGTGCCCCTGTTTTTATAAGTGTATGTAGTTTAAGGTTGTATGTTGGTGTATTGTAGATGTGTGCACATTTACATATAAACAATTAAATAAGAAGCAACAAAAACTTGGGTTTCTACTACGGACTGTTTATTCCTTCTTTTTTTTATATATACAAACTGTAAGGCAAGTTCTAAGAAACAGAAAAAAATTCATTAGAATCAAAGAAAACATGTCCTCATCTTTGTTGTTATTATTATTATTATAACATTTTGGCTGTTGTGTCCTCTGGCCTTCTTCTAGACAATAGCTTAATGGATTAAGGTGTTGGTTCATGAATTTAAATTCAATTCCTGAGCTGATTAGTACAGACTTGGTGGAAAACAGAGCCAGAAATAACTGAGCTGTACTAAAAAGAAAACAAGACAAAATATCCCTAGACGTGGACAGTGGGACATGAACAATCTACTCCTAGCATCAAATAGATTAAATAAAGTGTTCCGTTTGATTTTCCTGATGGTTACTTGGATTTTCAAATACCTGAAGAACGCAAGAGAACACAACAGCACAAATGTTATGATAATAACAACAAAGATGAGGGTATGTGTCTGACAGTAAATAATGTAAATATTTGTTTATTTATTTTTTTAATGTGTGGGTGGTGTAATGGACAATGGCTTGAAATAAGAAATCAGAGAGCTAAATTCCGGTTCAGCTCATTACACATAAATGCCCTTTGGAAAGGTATGAATCCATTTCTTCTCCCCATATTTGAACAGTAGGACAGACTATAGCCTTGATTGGCAACCAGTCTACTAGAGAAAGAAACAGTAGTCTACTGCAAGAAAACTTCTGCCTAATCAGCCATGAACCAAAAGAGGCATGATTGCCCAAGCATGTACATGTATGACACTTGACTTTTAACCCCTACCATTCTGCCTTATTAAAATCACTTCCCTTTATACTGCATTCTTTTTCAAGGTCTCTCAATTGCAGTATCCTTATTGTTAATTTCCCTCAAAGTTGCTTTTAGCTGCCATGGCAGGATATGACAACACAACTATGAAATTCAAACACATTATTGTTCAGGGATCAGTCACCTTCAGTGGTAGGATAACCTTTTTGTACATCATGTGAAGTCACATACAGAGTGATAAAGGTTAAGTTACTTTTTGAAATGTTGTTATCTTAGACAATGCAAATTCTTCAATAGTGTATTCATGATTTCATTTGTTCTTTTTATCTAAATTATCCATCTGAAAAAGTAATGTTGTGATTCTAGGAAGGCTTACCTGCAGCACTTGTGGCAAATCGACTTCTTAAAGCAATGAAAAAAATATCACGGGATTATGACCAAATAAATAAACTTCAAGGGCATGCTGAGTAAGTGTTTTATTTTTTTATGTTTGCAATGAATTACATATTATATTCTTTGTTTTAAGATTTAACTTTTTTAACCATTTACAACTTAAATATTTGTAAAATTTTAATTCTGTAAAAATGTAATAAAGTTGTAACCCTATTAACACACATAATGGCACCAATTGTATTCATTAATCTTACTGCAATGCATGAAGAATCAAAATTTTTATCAAAAATGCATCAAAGAAATGTTTAATAATTAAAAATATTTTATCTACAGTAAAAATAGATTTAAAAAATGTCTGTTTGAAACAAAAAAGTTGAAATAGACCAACATTACAGATTTCATATTGTGTTGCGGATTGTATATTGGCTCAGAAACAAATATTGAATGACAAATGACATCAAGAAATAAGACGAAGACTTTAGTAAAAAAAACACATCTTACCAAGTTTATTTTCATTAAAATACATCAACAAAAATAAGGCTACAGTGCACTAGGCAAAAAAATTCTCTGCATGTTCATGAAGAGTGTTGTCCTGAAAAGGACAGTTTATCACATATCATTGCTGCTGGCGAGAATGGCTGGCTCGAGCCATAGGTCAATTATGGCTGCTGCTGGAACAGATACTACACTCTAATCCTAGGCTTTGTAGCATCAGTTCCACAACAGTTGCTGGTCCTAGAAGAGGTAGCATCTTCCATTTTTTTTTTTTTTTTTTTTAAATATGGGCATGTCCATACAATATAAAAATTGTTCTCAAAATCTGTATTAAAAAAAAAAAAAAAAAAAAAAAAACACAATGGACAAATATTTTCTCTCTAGGAGCTTTTTGTACCTTTTATCTTTTGTAATAAAATTCAGTACAAGTTTTTTAAAATATTTGATTTTAAATTCAAATTTCAATTCATTTCTGCTTCTGAATTGATCTGCATGTGCTATTATATTTTGTCCCTTTTTCTTTAATTTAGCTGTGTTGTGTCCTTTTTGTATCAGGAAATTTACTTCTTCTGGATCAGCCTCTTTATTCTTTCTATACCATACCTTTTCTTTTGTTGAAAAGGACATAGTTATGGGGGCTCTGATTTGTCTGCCCATTAATGCCGAAGGGCTCAGCTTTCTTCCTGCATGTGGAATGGATCTATAACTGGTATCTTGTATGCAATACATCCTATCTGTTTCAACCACGCACATAAATTCTCATTGCAAAATTCAGGTGCATTGTCAGTAATTAGTGTCTGTGGTACTCCATTCATTGAGAATATCGTTCTTAATACTTGCTTTATTGTGGTGGCTTTTCTGTCTTTTACTCTGACAATTTCTAGCCATCTTGAATATGAATCCACTAATACTAAGAACGATCCCCTATCTTTGATATGCACGTGATTCATGTGGACACTAACCCATGGCTCTGCTTCCTTGGGCCATGAGTGAATTTTCCTTTGCTTGAAATTTTTTATTTCTGCACATTTTGGGTATCTCTTAATATACTCCTCTACATCTTTTGGATACCCTGGCCACCAAGCTTGCAACTTAAGTCTTTTTTGCATTGCTATTATGCCACAATGCATGTCATCATGCACTCCTTTTAATATGTCCCACGTCAGTATTTATGGAGCTACAATTATATCGCCATTGCATATTATACCATTTTCCATGGTTAGTTTATGCTTCATTTCTTTAAAGGGACGCTCTGCCATCAAGCACTTGCTCCATACATTATTTCTTATTCTCTCCACTATTCTCTATTTTGAGTCTATTTAGAGGAAGAATGCCCGTTTCTACCCAGTGTATTATTTTGTCTTCTGAATTTTCCTGTTTTTCTTCTGCTTCATTCTTGAAATGTAGCCTTGATAATGCATCCATGTGAGGGAAAGTGTTCCCTTTTACATATATTATGTCAAAATTGAATGCCATGATCTTTATTGTGCATCTCAAAATCCTTCTTTTCTCAGGTTAATTATGAATTCCAATGGTTTGTTGGCCAATTTTAATAAGAATTTCTTTCCTATCAAAAAATTTTGTGCCCTTTCCATGTTCCATCTAATCGCTAATGCTTTCTTTTCAAAATTCGAGTAGTTATTCTCAGCTAGCATTAACCTTCTTGATATGTACATGAGTGAGGGTTTTTCTTGTGATACGATAGCAGCAATTGGCTTTTCACTCGCATCTGTGGTTAATATTACTTCTTTTTGTGGATCAAAAATTTTTATTATTGGTTTGACTTCAGTATTTTCTTTACTGTGTCCAGTTAAATTCATTATTTTTCTTGCATAATTTTGCAAATGGCTCTATTACATCACTGTACCTTGAAATGTATTTACTTTAAAAACTTATCAGCCCCCAAAAGGATTCTAACTCATTTTTATTTGTTGGAGGAGCTATTTCTGTTATTTTCTTTGTTAATGTCTTGTCAGGTGATATGCCTTCTTTTGATATCTTAAATATATTTTCTTCCAATCAAAACTACATTTGTCTCTGTTTATAGTCACGCCTGCCTTGATTAAATTAAAATTTGCTCTTTTTTTATATTTCACTTCTTCTCTGGTTCTTACCCCTACACATATCAGGTCATCCAATAAGTTCTGTCCAAATTTTGAATAAAGAAAACAAGTAACCAAATGCTACATTTAATTACAAATTCAATCAACAATGTATTTTCCCTGATTATCTATGACTTCCTTCCATCTATTAACAAGCTTACTAATTCCATTACTGTAAAATTCTTTTGGCTTTGATTCAAAGAACTCACAAATGTCAGTTTTAACCTCTTCCTGTGTTACAAAAGCTGTTTCTTCCAAATGATTCTATAGCTTACGAAACAAATGGTAGTCTGAAGGAGCAAGATTAGGAGAATAAGGTGGATGAGGAATTTTCTCCAAATCAAGTTCTTTGATCTTTCGTGACGTGATTCTTGCTGTGTGGGGTCGCGCATTGTCCTGATGAAACATCACTTCTTTTCCATTCACTAGAGCAGGTCTTTTTTTCCTCAAAGATTGGTTCAAACACTCTAATTGCTGACAGTATATTTGAGCATTAATTGTTGCATTAGGTGGTAAGAATTCAAAGTTGGCGATCCCACCAGATTGAAAGAAGAACCATTTGTCCATGAAGTTCCCTTCTCGTCTGTGGCTGGGGTCCTTCCCCATTACCAAGCCACTGTCTACGACGCTTAACATTTTGATAAAAGATCCATTTTTCATCGCCAGTCACAAGTCTATCCAAAAAAGGTGAAACAAGTTGGCGAGAATGGAGAGAAGTTTTTTTCTTTTCTCGACTATATATTTTGGGTGATAATTCTCTTTTAGCTGAATACTTGCTTTATAGCCTTTTAACACTCCAATTTCATTTTCTTGTGCCTTCAGAGAATTGACTAATCTTGCCATATCCACTTTTAACACATCAATTCCTAGTAATCTGTGATCTTTTTCATATTCTACCACTGTAATGAGAATTATTTCAAAACGTTCTTTTATGTTAGTACTGTATAATGGACTCATTTGTTGCTTGTCTTGTCTCTAAAAATTTAGTTCTTTCAGCAATGACCAATCTTTTCTTTGGTGTTATGTTCTTTTTTATAACTTTGACAATTTCTTCAAATGTCATTTCTTCTAATTTGCTCAGGTAACACATTGTCAAAAATTTCTTCACTGCTTCACATCCAACAGCAGTAGCAAGAAATAAATCCTTTATCTCGTTTTCTCCTCCTCTGGTTTTGGTATCTCTTAATTTTATTAATTTTGCAAATGCCACAAAAGTTCTGATCCATGTCACTATGTGTTTGGGATCTTCCAGTGCATTCAAGGATCCTACCGACGACGCCTTTGTTATGATGTGTATTTCTCTCTAAGTAGTATCAGTCGTAGCACAGTTCTCCACGTTACGTTTAGCAAACGGGTTTCCTGACTAATTTTCCTTGTTCACCCTCTGCTCTCTATTTATGTTGTCATTCTCATTTGCATAAGATACTACAAGAACAATCACCACACACTGAAAATTTGATAATTGCAGAATCTTGGAACAACAATTGGTTAAAAAATTTATATGCTAGTTAATTTTTTTAGTTCATTCATATAGTAAAATATATAGTTAATTTTTTTGTTACTTTTTTTTTTTTTTCATCATATAGTAAATCTAAAATTTCCTGTTTTTTTTTTTTTTTTTTTTGTGAGGAACCCTGTAGATATATCACAACTACAATTGAAAAGAATTTGTCTAAGCTTAACATAAAATTTGTTACAACTACTACTAAAATAATATTATATTTAATAACAAAAGTGATGGAAACAAAAAGTAAAAGAAACTAAATGAAATCAGCTGGACTATATTACCAACACATATTAAAAAAAAAAATAAATTTAAATTTTAAATTCTCAGGATTCTCACTCCCTCATGTGCATGTGTAGTCACATTAATGTAAATATCACTTTATTCCAATGAAGTCTTAAAGCACAAACTATTTTTTCCAATTTGTCATAGTTTTCCCTAAAATAATGATACATAAAAATATAATGTTTGTTGGTTTCAATCATTAGGGAATGTTTATTCAATCATTTTTACAAAATTGTTTTGTGGCAAAAGGCTGAAGAGGCAAGTGGGGGAAAAGCTGGTCATCACTGACTATCCTACACCCTGCTAATCTGACTGATGACCAATCATAAGGGAATGGCTGCAAAAACATCCCCCTCCCCAATTTTATAGACAAATCATACAGATGTATATCTTTAATTCAGAATACTACAATCACCTAACTGTATCCCTTTTGTGAATTAACACCATTCTTATTTTGTGAACATTTTGCCTTATTACTGTTGCTTTGCCTATTTTTGTCTTATATATATATATATATATATATATATATATATATATATATATATATATATATATATATATATATATATTTATTTAGTATTATTTATATATATTATTTACTTAGTATTATTTTTGACCTGTTCTTTTCTTTCTATCGTTATTGTTTATTGGAAACTTTATCAAATCTGTTTGTTGGGTATTTAATTATGGCCAATTACTCTACAAGACAAAACTTGTTGATTTAATTTAATAACCAACTTGCTGCCTAAATATGCCATATATGTAAATATATTCATGACGGCACCTCAAGGTGGTGTAATGGTTAGCTAGCTTGTTTTGCTAGAACAATTACGACTGACTAGTGAGTCTGTCTATATTTCTGAGATGAGGTATTATGTACAGTATTTACATTAGTCGGACTATTGTCCTCATCTTTGTCGCCTCAAGGACACATGGCACAGTGGATAAAGGCATTGGTTAGATCCAGTGACAGACCCAAAGAAGGTGAGTTCAATACCTGGTTAAAGCAGTGGAGAACTTTCAGAGGGAAAATTAGCAGGAGATAACTGATAACTGACATCCATCAAAACATGGCACGTGGAACTAGAACAGTCTACCCCAGTGATCGAAATAAATTCAGTTCGACATTCCAACCACCTGAAGAAGGCCGAAGCATACAACGGCCAAAACGTTGTAACAAATATGGCGACAAAGATGAGGACAATAGTTCAACTAATGTAAATACTGACTAGTGAGTTCGATCATTACTGGGTCCTCCACACTTTCGGCCTTGTGTCACATCCAAGCAATGCTTGGAAAATCACTATGTAAATATATTTATTTGTATTCTTGCTGCCTAAATATTTCTCAAATATATTACTCATTTGCGTATACACACACACACACACACACACACACATATATATATATATATATATATATATATATATATATATATATATACACACCTTTCTATCTATCTACATTATGATAGAAACTTAACATGAGGGCACCTCATGTGTCCATGAGGCGACAAAGATGCCATGTGTCCTTGAGGCGACAAAGATGAGGACAATAGTCCGACTAATGTAAATACTGTACATAATACCTCATCTCAGAAATATAGACAGACTCACTAGTCAGTCGTAATTGTTCTAGCAAAACAAGCTGACAGTTGGACCTAACATACATATATGTTATTTGCTTAGTATTATTTTTACCCTGTTCTTTTCTTTCTATTGTTATTGAAAACTTTGTCAATTCTGTTAGTTGGGTATTTCGCCCAATTACATTTAATCATGGTCAATTACTCAACAATGTTTAATTTTAAATAATGATTCTGATATTGAAGAGGCTAAAAGAAATCTTACTGGGAAACAGCTGCTTTGGAAATCCAATTCTGTGGTCTTTTTTTTAAGGATGTATTAATAATCTATTAAATTCTTCTTCTGTTCCCAAAATGATTGCAGTCTTTTTGAAGAGCGGGCCATTGGCGTGTTAACGGAATGCTATGCATCTGATGAGAAGATGGCACTCCAACTTCTTGTGCAGCAACGTGACAACTGGGGCCAAACTTCGTGCATACTTATTGCAGTCAATGCTGATAACAAAAGATTTATTTCACAGACAGCATGCCAATCACTACTGAGCAACATCTGGATGGGGAAAATGAATAATAGCAACAGCAACTGGAAGGTAAGATATATATATTATACAATATCTATATATATTTACATTGCAAATTTGTAAAATCCATAAATTATACTTACTTGCTTATAACAGCATAAGAAATTTGTTATTGTTAAGTTTCTATCATTTTACCACCACCTGTAGCTTCCCTGTGCCGTTTCTATAAATATGTTCATCGTAATTGTTCTGATATCCTTTCCTCTTTGGTACCTTAAGCACGGTACAATGCTGGATAATTTCCTCAAAGATGAAGAAGAAACTTGTAGCAACAGAAATGTAATTCTACAGAAAGATGCTGAGGATACACCATGGAACAAACTTGTGAGCAACAACAAAATTTTTAGAGAAAATGGAAACAAAAAGTAAACTTAAAATTAAAAAGAAATAGTTGAAATTACTGGTGCACATAACGTGAAAAGCGCACTTGGAAAATCTGTTACTCACAGGATGAATTGAGAACAAGAAGAAACCAATGTATAATATATTTGACGAGCTTGAGAAAATAGAATTTATTTAGAGCTTCAAGGGACAGGAAATTGTGAAGAGCCATGATCACCTATGTCTTAAGGGGACATGGCACATAAAGAGAGAGAGAGAGAGAGAGAGAGACAGCTAGGTCTCATGATTTTACTATTGAAATTACTAGGTGTAACCATAAGATCTATGCTAATAGTTTCTTCTCTTGCACTTCTCCCCTGCTTCTTACTTTCTTGTCAACTATGATCTTCAAAAAAATTAAATGCAATGTCACTTGTTATCTTCTGTCTCTTGGAATCCTTTTCCTTTTATTGTCCTTTTTCCTCAATAACATTTTTCTCATATCCTTTCACTCTCAGTAACCCCTTGCATCTTAGTGGCTTTTTTGCTTTACTTAGTGTTATGGTAATTTACCCACGTATGCATGAACTCTCCCAGCTATAAATAGGAGCAGGTACTGCCTTTTGGGGAGGGAAGATTCCATCAGTCAGCTCTGCCAGTTGGACCTAACATACTTGATGTAACACTCTCATTTGTATATGTTTGTATTACTGTTTCTGTTAATATATTTGTTTAACTCAATTCCTCCCTTTGTGTATTTATTTATGGCCATAACACTTAGGGTGAAATGATTAAAATTATAATGATTTAGTGGAAGAAAAGAAGAAGAAAACATTAAATGTCTTATCTCAAGTATTTTGAATGACACAATTGAAAAGTCCAAGACTCTTACACGAATGAAATCTGCAGAGAAACATTTATTTTAAAAAGCAAAAATATTCTTCCCAATATACAAGTAGTACAAATTACAATAAAGGCCCTGCACAAAATTTTCCTTATGTACCTCAAATTATCAAGGCAAGATAACCCTAAGCAAGAAAGGAATACCACTAGTATGCAAGGGGTTACAGGAAGTGAAGGTGAAGACTGATAATAGGGAGAATTGAGGAAAGGACAAAAGATGGATGGGATTCTAGAAGACAGAAAATGGTAGTTGATGTTGCATATAAATTTTTGAAGAATGTAGTTATCAGGGAAGCAAGTAAATGGAAGGGAGTTTCACAAGAGGGAAGAATGAGAAAATAAACTGTTGGAGTAGAAGTGGCAGTTGCATTTAGCTATTTCAACAGAAAAAGTGTGGGACCTAGATGCCAATCTAGTATCATGCTTAAATTCATATTTTCAGAGCACCACGGAAAAAAGCTTATCAGAGCAGTTGCCATACAAATATTTGTAGAAAAGATAGAGGGAAGTCACCTCACATCAGTAAGAAAGTGACTGAAGTTGAGATGACTTGCCAGGATCAATTACATTACAGATCCTTCTTTGGATTTTGTCAAGAATCTTGAGATGTATAGGAAGCAAACCAGACCAGATATGGTAAAAATATTCAATACACAGAAGAATGGTATATTTGTAAAAGTGCAAGATGGATTCTGACAAGAAAAAATTTCTGCTACAAAACAGTGATGATATAGTTGCTCTACTTCAAGTCAGTGGAAAATGTGAGGCCAGAAAGATGCAGTGTATAGCTCTCCTGTAGTCTAGTATCAGTCATTCTGATGTCAGGCAGAAAAGGTTTTCAAGGGAGGTTAAACTGAAAGCAGTTTTCTTCTCTTAAAAAATTACAGTTAGTGTAAAGTAAATGTTTTCTTTAAAAATAAATAGATTTTACAAGTTTCTTTCAGAGTAACAGTTTCTCTGAATCAATTTCTTAGCAACAAAAGAAATTTACATTGAAAAGTTAACAATTCAAAATGTCACTGTTTCAAAGTTGAAAATTGAAATTCAAAGGAGGGTGAGAAAAGGTTGACCTACCTGGGCAAAGCTGCTTTTCTGGAGTTCTTTTGAGGAATATTCAGATTTTTGGAACATTCAGATTTTTGGAACAGGTATCTTCAAGTCTGTGATAAACTCACATGGGTTTATGAAGGTAATCATATGACCGATTTCTTTTCTCAGCAACAGTAGCCTAATGACAGCCTTTTACCAAAGTGGCCTAATCCCTTCTCTGCAGCAGCAACCAGAGTCAATCTACCCATTTCTGGTTTATCCTTTTCTGGCTTTGCAGTCAAAATTTTTCCTCTTATGAACCAAACTTGTGGATTAAAACTGACTCATAAACCAATTCCTTTGAATCCTATGCCTTTTATAGGTTAAAATATTGAGTCACCATCCAATCAAATGATGTCTATTTTTAATTCAAATTTGGCAGATTTTTTATGACACCAATTTGGAAATTATTATTTTTTTTTTTTCAAATCTTTACACATCAATTTTCATTTATGCCATATATATATATATATATATATATATATATATTAAATAATTAAGAATGAGACAACCTTAAGGTTCCATGGCTATAATTCATTTCCCAAGAAAATATATTTTTCCTGGTTCATCAGGTCACATGTCTAGTTACAAAGGAATTTGGTTTCTTTTGTTTTTAATACAAGATTTTGAGGGATAGTTTTAGATTGATATTAGGTAACAGAGGTGATAGGAGGGGGAATTTATAGGATGGTCTATCTTGGAAGATATATATAGAGGGAGAGAGAGACTGTTTAGCTTCATTAATATTATCTTAGTAAAAATATTTTCTACAATTTCAATATTTTATTTATTTTTTTCATATAATTTCAATATCATTTTTATCAAAAACAATTTTTATAAAATATATACATCATAGACTTTTAGAATAAATTTATGCCTAAATATTTACAGATTTAGCTAACTATAGAAAAAAAAAAGGAAATTTGTATAGTGACATTATATCCAGAATCATTCTTTTACTATTGCTTTTTTTATTTTTTATTTTTTTGCATACTCAAGAAAACTGAAAAACGGTGTGCTCCCCATCAAGATTTGAATCTGCATCCTCCTTCCTTACAGAAGGAACCACAGTCTGATCCAGTGTATTTTGACTGCTTGGCTATGAAGAACCTCACAATCAAGCAAGGTTCTATTTTGCTTATTTTGTGAGGTTCTTTGTAACTGATTGGTCAAAGCACACTGGATCAGATATTTGTTCCTCCTGTAAAGTGGGCAAAGGTTTGAATCCTGCTGGCAGCCACATCTTTATTAAATTTTCTTGAGTACACAGGCCAGTAGACAAAATTAATAATAATAATAATAATAATAATATGGGTATCCACTAAAAATGTTTGAGGTAATAATATATATATATATATATATATATATATATATATATATATATATATATATACATACACACACACACACACACACACACACTCACTCTCTCTCTCTCTCTCCAATTTTATATCTTTTAATTTTCATCAATATTTTGATTAATTTTGATCATTTTTTTCTTTTTCAGTTAATTGCGTCTATTTTATTCCCTCTTTTTATCTTATTGCTGATTACATTTGACAAGAAAAATTCAGAAAAAGACCAGGTAAGATCATATTTCATCTTGCACTTTGCATTTAATTCCCTCTTATTATCTCTCATTTTCCTTTTCATCCATTTATTGACTGAGTTTTCTGTGTGGTACTAATACATTAGTCCTTTCTTCATTGCATGGACCCTTATTTGTTAAATTTCTTTCCACAAGTGCAATATTGATAAGATCAGTGGCTGCTGCTATGTATATGTCAGCATAGGGAAACAAATAAAGGATGTTGAAGTACTCTTGTTTAAACCTAGAACAGAATACCTATGGTGTAACAAATAGGCAGGATATACCTGGATCTCTCAGACATTGAAAACAATACAAAATAAAATATTAGGAAAAATATTTGTTTTATATCATGCAATGTTGAACATTGTACAACCATTTTGGTTGCATTTTTATAATTATGGGCATTATTACATCCATGATATAATAACATTGTATTTCATGGACATAATGGAACAACTGAAAGAAAAAGGAATGACAAACATTCTTTGTTCTCAGAAAGAGCTTTATGTCACTATGTTATACACAAAATTATATATACATATTTACAGATGTGTACCATGCAGAGAAACTATAACATATATCTACATAACAAGCAGAGTGAAAGGAAAACAAAATGATAAGGTCTTACATATAATATGGAGATTATGCTGTGTTTCTGGAGAAGCTATATATTCCCAAAGGGAAACGGTTTGTAAACTGTATGTACTACCTGGCTAACCTGGCAGAAGCCCAGGCAGGACAGATAACTCATGTGTCTTGTCTCCAGAAAGCTGACTGACTGACTGCCACTTTTGTCACTGTATGAAGTGATGTCACTAAATAGCTTTCATGCAACTTCATCTTCACCAGAGGGAGATAATCACCATTTTTTATCACTACACCATCTTTGTTAAAGATGTGCTCAGTAAACACATATCCATCTGACCCAGGAGTACCAGTCTAGTGTTAATTAGAACTTTGGTGCTAACATTATTTATAATCTGGGATAAATTATATGAATAAACTTAATTTCTAATTAATTCTCAAAATCAAAAAAAAAATTAGGATAAAATTAAAAAATATAGGGCAAAAACTGATCAACTCCCTTAAAACATCTTTCAAAAGAGTAATATTGAAGTAATTTTTTATTTGTTTTTATGGTTTATCAACCCTTTTCATGTTATTTACAGTAGAAAAATATCTTTTGATTGTAAGAATTTTTTGGAGATGATAATGATTTACAAATATATGTCCTACTAATTAACCCATAGCTGGTGGGAGAAGAGGTATAATCATACCTTTCTCAAAGATGTTTGTGCAATAGTGAATATAACAAACCCAATTAGAATGAAAATTTGGCTCTGCAATTTCAAATTCTGAACTGTTATCCATTACCCTACACACATATACAAGCTTACAGCACCTGGTATTCCCAAGGTAGTGACCAGGCTCAATGTTGCTTAACTTCAGTGGTCATATGTGAACTGGTGTTTCAAGATAATATAGCTGTAAGCCTAATACTGAAGTAACTTGTACAAAAAGATATTCTAAACTTATTTGCAGAAACTTTCTCCAAAAATTCTTCCAGTGAGAATTATAACCAACAATTTCAAAATATTAAAAGGAATGCTGAAAAAATTTTTTTTTTAAATAAACAATTCTGAACATAAGAATAAACCATATATTCTTATTTAAATTGACTCCATTTAAAGATTTCATATTATAGCTGATTACCTGGGTGAAATTTCTTTATGCTATTTTAAAACAGTTATCTGAAGGATCTGTAAAGCATCACTTTAATATCTTCAATGACATATAGATAAGTAGCAAATTTACAGATAGCTAGAGGCAGATTACCATAACTCCCAGTTGGAAATATGGAGGGAAAAAAAATACTGATGAAAGAAATTATCAATCTGTTGCATTGATGAGTTGCCTCTGCAAAACTTTAAAGCACCTGATAAATAATAGATTAATCTGGCTTTTGTATTAATGGATTAATTATCGATTTTCAATGCAGATTCCATATCAAAAGAATTATAATAGGTCATTTGGTTGATTTAGAAATGCTTATAAGAGAGGCATTTATTAAAAAAAATATAATACCTAACTGGAGTGTGTAACTGGATCAGATGTTGAGTACGTGTATGGAAGTTACCCTGTTGTTATATGTATTTGTAGTAGTAGTTGATAGAGGAATCCATTTTACTTTTTTTTACCCTGAAAATGAAATGAATTAAAAGATACAATAATAACATAAACAATAATATTCAAGACACATGTTGACATTAATAACAAGAATTTGTATTTTTCTTTTTCATGGTGTGAATTACACATATTGGTATGGTGTGTGTTAAAAATATTTTCAGTGTTACTGTCTCTTTTGTTTCTTTAAAAGTTTATGCTTACTTGTTTTGCTTATTCTGAAAATTTTGTTGGTGAGGATAACATTTGAGATCGTCAGTTTTCTATTTTCTGGAGGGATAAGGATATGTATATATTGGGCCTTTTTACTACTGCTACTGTCACTTGCTACTCTATTGATGCTACTGTCGTAACTGTCATCGCTTGTGGTGGAAGGGTCGTTTTTATAATCAGATTTTAGAATGATGAAATATCTTTCTCATCTTTCATCACCGGTGGCAAAGTTGTTTTTTGGGTGATGAAATTTTTTATCTTTATTTAAGAGATGATGAAATATCCTTATTTTCTATCATCACTGATGGCAAGGTTATTTTTAGAATGATGAAGTATCATTATTCTGGATCATAACACTGTTATTATAAATTGCAGCATACAAGTTGACCTCAAGTTTAGGTCTATATTTATTGTATAGATCAATCTCCAAACATAAAACTGAAACTTAGGCCTATTGCTAAATGAAGTTGAAATTTATAAAATGCCATACACATGAGTTACCATAATGTTTTTAAAATTATGTGCTATGTTAGAGTTAAAATTTTAATCATTAATGCAATATGGTAACTTTAAAATAATGTTGTACCATAATTGCACAGTAATTATGCTTTTACAGTACGTGTATATTCAATTCAGAGGAGGCATGGTGGAGTAATGGATAGCAGCATGGATTGAGGAATCGGAAAGCTGAGTTTGAATTCCAGTTGAATCCATTTCATTTACTTATATGCTAATGCCCTTGGGAAAGGTATGAATCCTCTTCTCCTCCCCCCAGCTATAGGTAAATAGCAGAACAGATCAGGTTCTATAGCCTTGGATGGCAACTGGTCTACCACAGAAAGAAACAGCAACCTCCTGCAGGAAATGTAGTCAGTCATGTATTGAAAGATACATGATCGCCTAAGTGTGTATCACGCATGGTATATAGCTGACTGACTGTATATTCAATGAACTGCCATTATGTGTCATTAAACTGTCATTACTCTCATGAAATTGCACAGATGACATGCATAGCAAACCTAGTTGTCTGAATTACCACCTAAGTTAAATGGCACTTCAGTCAGTATTTACACTTAGTGTATCAGCTGATGGATTGACGCCCAAACACTCTGAAATGTTCATATCAGAGCTTCTAGCACAAATGCCAAACAGTACAGCATGTCCAAATTTCTGGTGAAGTGAATTGCGTCATAGTGCTCTTTTGTCAAAGGCAGTACCCAACTGACACTACAATAAAATCAAATACAAACTATGCACATACAAAGTTAAAAATATAAAACGGCGACAATTTATCCATCGCACTCTGCACTTTTCTAATATTCTGGATGAGTGAGGTGACATTCTCTCTTATCCCATTCCTCATCCAAGAAAAAAAAATTCTTTTAATGCACAAGATCCACCTGATCTGGTTATAGCATTGCTTCTGAGATAGTCCTTAAGGCTGAAGAAATTTTGCTAGAATTATTCTTGTCCAATACTAAAGATACTACAAAACCAAAATATTAACCTGAAAACTTGAGCCATGTTCTTAAATAAGTTCATCAGATGAAAACTCTGATTGGCATCCATCTCATTCAGACATATCTATATACAAACGTTTTCTCAGATCAATGATTGAAAGGGGTTTCAAGTAAATGAATACTTTAAGTCTTAAACAAGACATTTCATAGACTTACCAAGTAATAAAAACTGCATAAGTTGAAAAGGGAAAATAAAGATATAATCAAGATGTTGACTTTCCATACTAATGTAAACAAAAGGTTTGGAAGAAAAACTCTTATGAATACTAGAAAGAGCTATAACATTTAGTGGATGGACTTGAGAACTCTAATTTCCTGAAAAAAAACTATTTTAAGAAAAAAATTTAACAAATTTCAACTGACAGTAACACTAATGTTTTCTATATGGAAATGGTTCATTTCACCATTACCATTGATCACTTTTGTTCTCAATTTTCTGGTGCACTGTGTATTTTTTATTTTGGCAGACTGGCAAAATATTTTCTGGCTTTATATATATTGTAGTCTTATTTTCATTTTGGATAAAAATATTGGCATTAGAACACCGCAAAATTAAAATGATCAGATTTCACTCAACAAAAAAAGTGCTAAGGAAAAATAATTGGTTTTGGTTCTATTTTTCTTTTAGGGGTGTGAGAGTGGTAAGAAAAAAGGGTAAGTAAGAATTAAAGTCTCTTTCATATAAAATATTTCTATACATACACACAAACACATATATATATATATATATTACAGTTGTGATTTCAATCCCTGCTCTCAGCAGAGATAAAAAAAAAAAAAAACTTGGAGAGTTGAGTTATCAAGTGGGATATCTAAAAGTATGACACATGGAATTAAAACAATCTACACCCGTGGCCTAAATAATGGGTTCAGTTCAAAATTCCAACAAATATCACCTGAAGAAGGACGGAGCATACAACATTCAAAATGTCATGAATGTGGCAATAAAGATGAGAACAACAATCAGAACACTGTAAATAGTGCAAATAGTTATAATACCTCATCTCAGAAATATAAACAACTATATAATCATGGTATTTCAAAAATAAAATTATACAGTGTGCGATGGGTAAATTGTCGCCATTTTGTATTTTTAATTTGGCAACTGCACAGTATTTTGTAGGGTCATTTGGGCACCATCTGTGAGAAAAAAAGCAGCATGACACAATTCCTTCCACCAGAAATTTGGAAACAACATACTGTACTGTTTGGTATTCACACCAGAAGCTCCAATACAAATATTTCAGAGTTCTTGGGTGTCAATATGAGGACAGTGCAGAGGATTTGAAAAGAGGTGGAGGAGTGATTATGAATGTGTTTAGAGTTATCACTAGTGATGACGATGTTATGCCTCCGTTCACCTTCCCACAGATCCTCAGGCTCAACATGAAGACCTACATCAAGTGCTTTGAGGAGGCAGTGCTGCCCTGGGTCAAGAGGGTGATTGCTGAAGACCCTATGTCTGGCAACAGGACTCTGCACCATGCCACACAAGAAGGAGAACACAGGCATGGCTGTCAGACAATTTCTGTGACCACATCACTCCTTACATCTGGTCACCTAACTCCCCAGAAGGCAACCTCCTTGATTATTATATTGTGCAATGCAGTTAAGTGAGGGACCAACAAAACTTACTGTAACACCAAGGATGAACTGAAGGTAAGGATTATGGCAGCATTCATCAATTTAAACAAGAAGATCATCCAGAAGAGTTGCAGGAGATTCCAAAGTCATCTGGAGACAATGATTGATGCCAATGACAATTTCATTGAATAAATTTACCCTTTAGTATTTCAAGATATTTTTGTGTAATTTTGATAAATATATGTTAAAATTAGTGTTATTTTCATTTTTGCATAATTTAGACAACTTGTCCATTATATATATGTATATATATATATATATATATATATATATATATATATATATATATATATATCCCATGCATAAACAAAACAAAATATTTTGGTAAACTTCTGAAATAAAAACATCTTGCTGGCAATAGTAGGCATCCATTTATCTCATGAGATTATGGTAGTGTTCTCTTTGGTCAAACATTCTCCTTTTGCAAGCAGCGTTTGGAGTGGGTTAACAGAGCAATCCATGCATGACACTCTCTTCTGTAGATGTGAGAGATGAAGATGGAATGTACAATAGAGGTCTGACTTTGCTCTCTCTACTTTCTTTGTTGTCTCCTGATCTCTAAATAAAAACATGTGGCAATAGAAAAAACTGATTGTGTTCTGTGAGCTTTAAGTCCTGTCCAAATAAAAGTAATTTTTTATGACTTTTTATGAAAGGTGTTTGTATCTGTATGAAAGTTTTCATTGAAGAAAAGAAATGTAAATTTGGTAGAGTAGGCAATTGTCATGAATTCTGAGTAGTAATAAGAATTTTACAATTTACAGTTGCCAGAGTCATAAGTAAACATGTTGGTTGAACATTACAAAGAATTGATAACTTGATCTCCTTGTGATGTGTCTACTATGGCCTTATATTTTACCATTTTTATGGGAACAGCTCAGATCTAAACATTTGGAAGTTTAAATGCAGTGTAGGTCTCCCAAAAAGATTAACATAGTGGCTGAATATTAAATTGTTAGTAGAGTGGTTGGATGATAAGTGGATAATAGCATTGGTTGAAGTAATGCAGTGACTTACTCAAAGAGTTGTGAGTTCAATACCTGGTCACAGCAGAGGCAAACAAAAACTTGATGAATTGAGTTACTAAAGGAAAATAACTGAAACTGAATCCAGAAGAGGCATGGCACGTGAACTAGAACAATCTATCCCAGTAGATAAAATAAAGGGTTCAGTTCAAAATCCTAATCACCTGAAGAAGGCTGGAGCATACAACAGCCAAAACATTGTGCATATAGCAACAAAGATGAGGATAACAGTTCAAACAAGTAAACAGTTACAATACCTCATCTCAAAAATATAGACAGACAAATATTTAAATGTTCTATTCAAGGTCTATTTTAGAAGTGTTAAAACTGGAGATATGATAACACTGTGGAAAAATTTGCCATCCCAGCCCAGTTATCAAAGGCAGCATCATATTTATAACTTAAAAACAAATGTTGCCATGTAGCCAAACCATGTTAACTCTCTTGACCAGAAAAGGATCAGCAAAACTTTCTAATATCTAATACAGAAAACTGGGTCCTGTTAGATAGGGATTTACTAAAGTACATTGATGTTGAGAAAGAATTTAAGGCTGCATATATTTGCGTGTGTATACATATAAGTGTGAGAGTAAAAAAGTTAAAGATTGTCAGTACGTATGATTGTGTGTGTTCTGCTAAATACTTTCAACTATTTCAAGACTTTACAATTGCATGTTTTTAATGGCTACAAACAAGATGTCTTTATTTATTCACTCCTAATGTTGTTAAATCTTTTGGCAGATCGAAAAATGAAGCTGAAAATTTAAGCAGGAAACAAAAAATCTTAGCTTTCTACACAGCACCAGTGATAACCTTCATTACAAATGTGGTATGTGAATTATTTTATGAATTCTCAAACACTTAGATTGAATTATATAAGATTGTTCTAAGTTTTTTTGGAATGGTTAATTTTTGTTTAACGGCATATCGACATCTCTATGGGTTATTTAATGCTGAAATCTAAATATTTTGTATGCAATTTTATTTTGGGGGATAATAATGGTTTAATGATGAAGTTTTACTAATTAACTCCTAGCTAGGGTGAGAAGAGGTGGATTCATACCTTTCCCAAGGCTATCTGCACATAAGTGAATATAACGAACCTAACTGGAATTGGAACTTGGTTCTCTGATTAACAATTCTGAGTCATTATCCATTACACCACCCACAAATCCAAGCTTATAACACCTGATATTCCCAAACAGTCACCCATCTAAGTACTGATCAGGCTCAATACTACTTAATTTCAGTGATTATACAGGAACTGTAAGAATGGTCAATCAGGAAAAGAAAATATTCTTAAATGTTATGGAAATACAATTTGTGCTTTATCAATTCATAGAGATTGATAATTACTTTAAAAAAGTATGAATCATAAGAATAAGGTATGAATCATAGTGATAATTACTTTAAAAAAGTATGGATTATAGTGAATGAATTTATAGCAGATTTCTTTACTATTTAGGACTAATCCCTGACTTTCCAAGAATTTTTTTTTAAAAAAAACAAATATTGGTTCAAATGTGCTATCACTCTGACTAATCAAAATTCAGACTTCAAAACATATTTTTTAACCAATCACATTTCACTTTGTTAAGCTTCCCTAAGGATCTTAACTGATATAAAATAATCTCACCTCAGCAAATGTTAATCAGTCAGTTACAGATTACTCACCATAATTCAAAAGATAGTTGACACCTTTCATCATGCATCTTTGTTTGTTTAATGGCATATCAACTCCTTATGGGTCATCTAATGCCGAAATTTAATTTTCATGTGAACATTAGTAATTTCTTTTAAAAAATGTAATGCTGGTAATTTTTTTTTTTATAAAAAATGTATTACTGGTAATATTTTTTTCCTTAGAGAAATGTATTGCTGGTAATTTTTTACAAAAAAGTATTGCTAGTAATTTTTTTATTATAAAAATGTATTGCTGGTATTTTTACTATAAAATTTTTTATACTTTAATAGTGTTTTGACCCCAGTTTGGGAGTTAACTATTTGCTCATAGCTACCACCCCAGGTTTGGGTGGACCTGGGAACAGGAGCAATTAAGAGGTGGTTCCACACTCCTCAAAACCTCCCACTCAGAGACCTTGTTGCCAGATGTTGTTTATCATCATACCCAGGGCAGTCATCAGGCATCTAGATTTGTCACCTTGCAACTTTTTAATAAATACATGAACTGCATTTGAATTCTCTCAGGAATCTCATTTCAGTCATCATAACAAGCCAATGAGTATAAAATAACTTTTTACAGTTATTACTGCCTGGATAGTACTTATGGGAGAGTGTTTTCCCCCAAATACTCACTTCTCTATCAACAATTGAAAGATACCAGTGACAAGGATTGTGGATTCATGCCTTTCCAAAGAGCATTTGTGCTGAGTGAAAGACAAGTAACCTCAGTTAAGTCAACTTGCATTTCTCATTTTTCAGTGTTAATAAGCATTACACAAACTCTATTATTCTGTCAGAAATTGTGGAAAAACATGATAGTTCACGTCCTGAAGGGACATGACACATAGAAGATGAAGATTCTTCATTCTCTATGCTTTGACTGCTGTAACTGTAACAAAGTTAAAATGGAAAATTTAAAAAAAAGCTAAAACATGTAGTTCTTTAAATGAACCCTATTTTGTAATTGTGTAGCGATTTTTAATGTTTTAATATCCTAAAATAAATTATATATATATATATATATATATATATATATATATATATATATATATATAATGATTGTTTTACAAAACAAAAAATTTGGTTGACTAGTATATTTATGAAGGACAGTGCTTTTAAGGCAAGTAGCCTATAACAGTAAAGTTTGCTCAGCATTATGAAAGAAAGCATTAATAGTTTTTTGTCCATAAAGAAATACATAAATAAAAAATTAATTATACTGTTACTGTGTTGTTTCCATAATAAATAAATAAATAAAAATTAATTACAGAAAAAAAAATTATTATAAAATAATTATAACAATTATAATTATCATTAATTCAATCATTCTAAACCAATGAGAATTGATACCACTTTTCTCCTCTGCATGCACAAATGTGACATTCTCAATACTAGACAAGCAGTTCACATGGGCAGGTCATTAACACATGCCTCAATGAAAATTTTGTCTACTTTTCCTTTTTCAGGCCATAATGATAACATTTATCTTTTAGCACTCAACAAATATTTGAGGTAAGAAAACCCCAGACTCCTGTATTTTTTAACTAAATTATCTCAACACACATTACACCCATCTATAAAAAAACATACAAGAAAAACTGTATACACTTTACTTATTCTTTATATTATCATTCTATTGGATTCCAATCCATGCTTGATCTACATTTGACCCCAAACTCACAGTTTTAGTTGGTATCTGTCTCTCATATCTCCAAAACCATATAACAACCAGATAATAAATAATACTTGTTTTGTTTTTTCAACATCTTGCTGTTTCTCATTTTTACGAGTATTTTTGTATATATATTAGCATTTTTATAATAATTTAATCAGTTACAACTCCTGTACAATAAACAAAAAGTAAAAAAATGATCAAAACATATTTTCCCAAATAAAGTTTCATAGATGGTATCTGCTCATTATGCAGTTAGTTAAATTTAGATTTTGTTGAATTTAAGATTAGATAGTTAAATTTGACTTCAACTATGTAACTGTTATAAATTTTGAGCATAAAATTATATTTGTCCTTAGCAGTAGATTTTAAAAAATTGCCCGGGGATGTAACAAAAAGAGATAGATTTTTCATTTTTAAAAAAGACTGAAAAATAAAATTAAAAGATTATTTTTTAACGTTGACGGACACGCATTTCTTAATTAGTTTTTTTTTTTTTTTTTTTTTAATTGGTCAAACCCAAATTTTTTTTTTTTTTTTTACAATCGTTATGAGTCTATCGATTGGTGAATAGAAGATTATAAACAATTTCTTGTAAATGGAATTTTAAAGCATTCTGAATGTAAATAAAGAAAAAAGTTTGTTCAAGACAATAAGAAATTAGATAAAAAAAAAATTGGATGCTTGTTTTATCGGCTGAAAAATGTAAGAAATCCGATCCCATATATAAAAAACACACACACACACACACACACACACACACACACACACACACACATAAACAACCTGGTTTTTTTAACCTAAGTCACTCCACGGAATCGCTAAAACATAGAGCATAGTCTGATGAAAAAGATGCCAAAGTTTATGAAAACAAAATTTTAATTTAAAAACCTTGTTTCTCTTTGTCGCAACAAGGGGTAGTAAATAACATAGATAATTTTTGCACATTTTTTTTACACACATTAATTTGGAAAATCTTGCAAAAAATAAAAATAATTGTCAGATGTTAATGAAACTTTCAGAAACTATTCACAGATGATCGAAATTATTATAAATATGTTTTTTTTTATTAAAGTCATGGCAGAAATATTTCTTTTTATATTTATTAACACCCCCATAACTAACTTTATGAAAAACTCTAGAAATTCGAGACCATCGGTTTTAGTGATTACAATAGTTAAAAGCACAAGGCTTTGAAGAATGCAAATCATGTTTATTTTTTTTTTTGGCCAACGTACCTGAAAATCAGCTGTGAATTGTAACATACAAAACTCAATAAAACAAATATATTATTTAGTTTCAAATGCTTTTATTTGTTTTTATGAATATGGACAATATTTTCTGAAAGCAAAAAATTTTTTCAAGGAAAATTGAATTTTTAATACAATTACTTCTTATTTCTTTAATTTTAAAAAGATTTTTAAAAATTTTTTAAATTGAATTTTTAAAAAATATTTTAACATTAGAGGGTTCAACATCAACCTTTCAAAATGTCTGTGTGAGATTGTCATTGTCTAGCGCTTTGAAAATTGTATAATTTGGACCAATCAGATTAGCCATGGTAATTAAGAAATGTAATTTTTTTGTGTTTATAGTCGGACAGTAATTATCAAGCACGGAATTTAAAAACCAGAATACAATTTAGTTGCATTATTTGAGTTCAGCATTGTTCTCCGCTGTTAAGCCCTTTACTTTTACAAAACACTTATGGAGAAGTTAATTTGAGTTTTTCAATTTCAACTGAGAAGGGTACCTACAAGTAACAGTATCATCTTATGAAATTTAACTACTGCTAAATTTTAATTTATATGATCTTATTTTTATATTAATCACAGTTATGACATTTTTCCATAAATGAAATATCAAAATTAATAATAAAATGAATGGAAATACAAATAACACAGTAAAATGTAATAAATGTACATAAAATTATAGTATTTTCAACACTTTGATAAAATTTCGAAAGAAAGGTACCTAAATTAATTAGATACCTTTTTTTCTTATGAAATTTAATCTCACTATTAACAGTCTTATTTTTTTTCATTTCTTTATATTTTCCATAAAGCATCGTAAATGTAAAAAATGAAATTTAAACAAAAAAAAAAAAAAAAAAAAAAAAAAATTATATGCTGAAAGTTTTCCTTAAAAGTAACAAGGTAAATAATTTGTTCACTTAATAATTTCACTTCCTTCCATCTGTAAAAGAAACCCTATGTAAGTTTCTATCCGTCATGAATGTGCCAAAAAGTCAATAGTTAATATTAGCGAAAGGTTATGATCTTTTTTGTTTTATTTTCAAATTCATTTTTTCAGGGAAGCTAAGTTAAGCTTGGGTCAAAATATTTTAAATAAACAATATAATTTCTGTTTTTATTAAAATCAGTTTTAAAAAATGATAATTTCTTTTTAAAAGAATATCAAAGTCAGATTTTAATCTTTTTTATCAAATCGAAAAAAAATAATTGAAAATGATTATCTGTTTTTTTTTGACCAAAAAAAAAACCATTTTTTTAACGAAAATTTCAGACGTGCTAGGAAGGATTAAAAATGTAAAAAAAATACCCTCAAAATAATTTGATCTTTCCTCTTTAATAATAATATAAACATTAAACGATAAAATTTTGTTTTCGTCAAGTTCGAAGCATTTTTCATCATGCTATGCTCTTTTGTTTACATTTTCGTGGGAGAGTTCTCCCCTTTCACCATGTATATTTGATGATGTCAAATTAATCGTGTTTTCAAAGTGATTTTATTAAAAAACAACTGTGTTTTTCCCATTTTCGGCCCCGTTAGAACCACCACAAGGTAATTTTATGTAGTCCTGTGAAGTTTTGTTGAAATCGGCTAAAAAATGTAGGAAATTCGATCCAACATATAAACGTTACAGACACACACACACACACACAATCTGCATTTTATAATAAGTAAGATATAAAGTTCTTGGCCTAACTAACATCCAAAAATCTTGCCAAATCTTATAATTCAAGGATTAACTCCTTCTTTATTGCATACAAACTTGTGGAGTTTATCAGAAATTAAATTAAATTATTAAAATCATGTCTGGCTTACTTCCAGAGCCAAAAATAAACATTAGGTAGCCTCCCTCAGTGAAATTAGAATTGTTTGCGCATAAAAAAATTTCATTATTCATTTTCTTCTTTTTTTTTTTTCTTGTTTATGACATTATCTACAGGTTTATATTCATTTTTGGTTTGTCATTAAACACCATTTGATAAAAAGGACACATTTCACTATCCTAAAAGAGACTCATACAATTGTACATTTCAGGTACAAACATTTTATATACCAACTTCATGTGTACATTTCTTTCTTATTATTTGTTTATTATAAATTTTGTTCTATGTATGTCACATGAAATGGTTCAATCTTATTTACAGGTTATACCCATTTTCGTATAATTTGCCTTTCTTGCCAGATCTACTTTTTTCAACTACTGGAACTGGCTAACAATAACACCACATGTTATTCCTATACCACCTCAACATGTCTTTGTTTGAATGTTGTTTAGAGATTGAATTAAAAGCTTTAGCTAAGAAAACAATATTATTGCAAAAAACTTTACAACAGCACCCTAGTATATGTGATATTTTTTAAAAATTATATTTAAAATAGTTGTCCTTCAACAAAACCTATGTATTTTATCCACTTAACAAAAAGAAAAAGTAGGAATTAATATTAGAAATAATTTTCTATTTATCTTTCTTCTTCTGCAGGGATTCTATGTAATATTTCTCATCACCTTCAGCTATGTGTTGTTGGTTGAGTTCCAGAACACCACTTCTAACATGGAATATCTTCTTTATATTTGGGTTTTTGCCATATTGACTGAAGAATTACGTCAGGTAAGTCTTGTTTCAATGTAATAATTTTATTTGAATAAAAATATTTTTGAAAATATTTTAGAGAACTCTTGTTGATCCAAGACAAATCTGAAAAAAAAAATATTGGCTACTAATGTAATAAATAAGAAATATCAATAATTAATATAAATTTAAAAAGGTTAAAATAACTGTGTAAATGAGAAGCATGCTTGTGAGCTGCTCAAGTGAGAAGTATAATTGTGGGCCACCCCAAGACCATGTATATTTGCATGATGCTCAAGCGAGAAACATGTTTGTGAGCTGCACAAATGAGAAGCGTATTTCTGAGCTGCTCAAATGAGAAGTATGTTTGTAATCAGCTAAATCAAGAAGTATGCTTGTAATATTTTAAATCTTGAAGATAACATTCCCTTTTAACAAATGCCAAAATATTTTTTAAATGATGATTATTTTCTTGTAGCATATTCATTTTTAGTTCTTAATAAATGCCTTTATTGTTTAAGGTCCTTTTATTGAATGATATAAAATCTTTATAAAAAAAGTTTTGTATAATTCCTGAATGTTTTTTTTATGATAATAAATGAAAAGATTATTGAAAATAATTGTTTGATGTTTATTTCATCATTCATTTTCCTTTTCAGTTTTATCCTCTTTTATTTTATCTACATGTTTATATTCTGTTTGTCTTAATATACACCATTTTATAAAAATAAGGCCCTGTGCCCAGACTAAAGATTGAACCCTCAAGTATATAAATTTTAGAATATTTAAGTATATATAAAATATATATGTGGCTGCATGTTAATTAATGTTAATTATGAAGTTTGAATCTCATTCATTTTACAAGTATATAAGATAAATGAAAGATAAGACAAAGTCAGAATTTTCCTTCTCCAAGATGAGTTAATTTTGAATTAAATAAGACCTGGACATCTATTGTTTACAATTTTTACTTATTCATATCAGTTGAATCAATATTTAGCCTATAAGAAATAATCAATCAAAGCCACTTGTAAGATGCAACCATTTAAAAATTATATGTATATGTATGCTTTTTACAAGTTATCATATATATGTTCACTGACAGGACATACAAGGTGCGATGGTTAAATTGTTGGCATTTTATATTTTTAATTTCATGCATGCACATTGTTTTTGATTTTGTCAACTGCACAGTATAGTAGGGTCAGTTAGACACCATCTGTGAGAAAAAAAACAGCACCATGATGAATTACATTCCTCCATAAATTTGAAATGACATGCTGTGCTGCTTGGTATTCGCACCAGAAGCTCCAGTGTAAACATTTCAGAGTGTTTGTGTGTCAATCTGAGGACAGTGCAGAGGACTTGGAAAAAGTTGGATGAGTCTAATGATGATTATAAAGGTATGGCAGCTCAGAAAACTCACTCTGATTGTTCTGATAAGAAAAGAACATCCTAATTTGTTTGTGAGGGACTCAGAATCAATATGGAGGCCTACATCAAGTGCCTTGAGGTGGTAATGCTACCCTGGGTCAAGAAGGTGGCTGCTGGAAAACCCTATGTCTGGCAATCGAACTCTGCATCATACCACACAAGCAGGAGAACACTTGCTTGTCAGATAATTTCTGTGGCCACATCACATCTGGCCACCTAACTCCCTAGACTGCAACCCCCTTGACTATTATATTTTGGGGTGCAGTTGAGCAAGAGACCAAAAAAGTAACATCTAAACCTTGTAACATCATGATGTAATAAAACGTATTTTTTAACGTCAAAAAAAGACATTATTACGTCATTATTTTTGCACCAACCTAATAGCATTCATTAACTTAAACAAGAAGACCATCCAGAAGAGTTGCAGGAGATTCCAAAGTTGTCTGATGGCTGTGGTTGAAGCCAATGGCAATTTTATTGAATACATTTACTCTTTAATATTTCAAGATATTTTTGTGTAATTTTGGTAAATATATTTATTAAAATTAGATGTCAATGTTATTTTCATTTTTGCATAATTTAGATAATTTATCCATCACACCCTGTATAATAGGTAAGAAGGACAGAAGAAAGCAGCACATAACCTACCTAAAGAGTTTGTGTAAATGGTTGGCAGAACAGAGATTAGGAGAGACAGTGAAAAGAAAAAATTTACTAGTTACTATGGACAGGAAATTGTGGAGAGTCATGATCATACATATGCTAAAGGGACATGGCACATAGAATAGAAGAATATATGCTTGTATACATTTGTTCAGGAGTATACAGAAACAGGAAAAAATCTTTGAAACAGAATTAATTTTATTAATTTTTCCACTTGCTTTTTATTGCAACATGCAAACTATGTTTTTTTTGATTGCACAGGATTTAGTCAAACTTGCTGTGTCAATTCTCCTATGTACCTATGATGCCTTGAGTGAAGTTGTAATCAAAAATATCTGCAGAATAAGGATGAAAGTAAATAAGAGTTAAAATTAATAAAACTAAATCTATTCAAACTCTAAAATTTATGATGGAAATATTTATCTGGCATATCCTTTTGAAAATAATGACAGGACATTGTATGATTTGAAATGTTATTTGCCTTGAGTATCTGGGAAGTGGATGAAATTTGGAATTCTAGGTATATATGAGACTTTCACTGTATGTGCAATTTATTTAATTAATGGAAAAGTGTTGGGCTAAGTACTGAGTCAGAATAAAAATTCATTTGGTGGTGTTTTAACATGTAATTTTTTGTTTCACGTGTGACTGAAAATTATGACATATATAATTATGACATATATATGTATTCTGAAAAGTAACAATGCATTGTTACTTTTCAGAATGCATATATATCACAACATTTTTCAAATTTTTTTATAATATCATGGCCTTTCAGGACATAGGCAATCATGATATGCCACAGATTTCTTTTTAATATTATCTCTAAAATGCTATGTGTTCTTAGAAAAAATAGTTTCTTTGCTTGTTTTGCTGAACATATGCTCAGTAAAAGTATATAGATAAATATTTAAGATCATGTATATGGATTTTACTGAATGACTCAAAGATTGAACTGGTGGCCACCAGATAACTGCATACATAAGGCCATTTTCTAGAGAACAATCTAGTGATACAATTTTGGAACCCTAAACTTGACTTTTCTTTCATGATATTATTTTTATAAATGACAAGAAATTGTTTTTTGAACTCATTGATGCACTTTTGACAATCCATTCTGAGAATTTCATGTTTGGGAAAGTGGTTGAAGGCATTTTCTTTACAGAAAAGAAATAATGGTTAATATACTGATTTCCTTAGATCATTCCCTGCAATGTCAACTATGCTGACAATATTGTTTTCAACAACTTTTGTAACAAAGGTGATTCCATGTACAGGAATGCTTTCCAGTTTTCTCCAAGCTGAACAAAGAACTCTTCACCACACTGACTCCCTTGGATCATTGCTAGCAATTTGAACCACACTGAAAACACAGGTGATTCCATATTTATAATGGAAAGCCACACCAAAAGTCAGGGTCAATGGTCTACAGTTAATGCAAGTGTTGGGCCATGAAACAAAAATTTCATATTGGCTGTAAAAGCAGCTTTTTAATCATTTTAAAACAAAAAATGCCACTAAATGTTTTGTTAAAGAATAAAAGAAAAACATGTGTCAATAAAAGAACAGGAATAAAGAAGACAGAAGATAATGATCACCATTGCATTTAAATATTTGTAAATGTTGACTGAAAAAGTGACAATGAGAAGTGCAGGAGAAGAAAATGTTTTAACTATACTAGTCATTTCAACTGTAAAACAATGAGACCTGGCTGCCAATCTAGTACTGCACTTAAAATGTTTTTAAATCAGAACAAGGGAAAGTATTTATGGATGAAAGTTACATTAGATGGTGCCATAACCAAGATGTACTGTTTATAAATTCTTTGTTTTATCAAGAAATTCCAAATGTGGCAGCAATATTCAATGCCTGAACAAATATTAATTTTTAAGATTGAGAATGCTTATATAATACTATATAAGAAGAGTCAGTTAGAAGTAGTTGGCAAGTTGTGATGTAGAGATGGGCAGGAGAGAGTTGGAGTTCTTTCTGGTTGAATGAAAGATCTGGCTTGTTATTCTGTCTTGAGAGAAAATAGCAGTAAAGATGTCTCAAGTATTAGGTCTCCCATGACTAAGTGAGGACAAAAAAATGACCAAACATATATATGAAACCGGATCTGAGACATCACCTTTCACTTTTCATTCCTTTGTGAGGGGACACCAGTTTCTGTGAACACCAACACAATCTGGAATCGGAGTGCAATAAGGGATGATTTGTCCAGTTGATGAAAATTTGATGAGAAGATCCTGGTGTATGTCTATACATGTATTGATAAAAATAGTATTGTCACTTTATGTAGTAGGAATTAGATTCTATTTACTGTTTGCCATATTTCTATAAAAATATATCTTTCTCTTTCCTTACTTAGTGTGTAAGAAATTTAGTCATCCATTTTTTTTATATTAAAAATCCGAACGTCCAAATTACAAACAATAATAAAATAAAAATAAAGAAAATATGGTTATGCCTGTTAAATAAATCATTTGTCTTTATAACCATATGTACATGAATTATTTAAAATAGCCTTTAGTTGAGTTAAGGTATTTTGGGAGTTAATACACAGAAAAATCTGTCATTTAGAAAAGACTGTGGAGTCATTCGCATCATACCAGCAGAAATAGCCTTGTGTTCACAGGAATAAAAACATACACAGAAATAACACTAAAAGCATCTTGAATTGTAAATTAAAATCATACAATTTATTTCTTTTTGTGTACTGGTATGTGTGTTTTTCGAGTTACAAGTGTTTTGAGATTGCATGTGATGAAAGGAATAAGTCACTTTGTATTCCCAGAGAAAGGAGCAGGACATCTTGACTTTTCAATGGTCAAGAGAATGAATTCAGCATCTTTTGGTGCAAAGTATCTTTTCCAGCAGGAAATGTTTCTGTTGCATGTTGGGAGAACTTTTTATTTTTTTTGGTTTATTTAATTTATTTTAAACAAAGTTTAAATGTTATTTGTTTTTTATTTATGATATTCATCATTATTATCATTATTTTATATTTTATTTTTATTTATTAATAATAATATCATTTCCCCCACAATACTTTTAAATAATTGGTCTACAGAAAAAATATATGGTTAAGACCTTTTATCCTTAGTGGAGATGATTCATTTGAAGTCTCCAGAACATGATCATCAGCAAAGATTCACTGTCTCTGCTGTTGTTATTTTTGTTTAGTTGCTGACAACCTTTCAAGCAAATTGAAGGAAAAATATGTCTTCTCATCAGCTTGGAGGCAGCTGCATCTCTGCTCTTGAAAGTCAAATTCTGTGGGTTTTTATAAAAAAATTTCCTAAAGTAAGCTTGAGTAAAATAGGGTTTTAGTGTTTTCTGATTGGTCAAATATTTCACATAGAGGTGTTAATTTCTAACCAATAGACACTTTGATTTAAACAGTGTGAGTTGTATTGTGAAATCCTTTTGTAATAATCATTGTCTGTTCACAAAGTTTGGGCGTGTTTTATCTATTCTTGGTATGTAATTGTGTTGGAAATAGGAAGAAGGAACATCCAAACCATTATAATAGCAACAAAAGCAACACAGACAATGAGTTCAATAGTTCAAACATACTAATAGAATACTAATGACTATTCAAAATTACAGATTATTTACATTATTTAGAAATTATTTTCATCAAATTTAAAATCAGTACCTTCATCAAGCCAATTTTGGTAACCTTTTAGGAATTTCAAAATAAACCATTTATTTAATATTGTAAAGGGACATTACTCTTGTTCTTCTGACCATGTCAGGGAAATTTGACTAAAAAAAATTATGGTGTCCACTGAGTTTAAGTCTGTACAACCAGGCCCAGGAATTGAACTCAAAAATATAATTATTCCAAACCAATTCTTTTTGGCATCTTATGGGACATTACTGAGTGTAGAACTTGGAATCTTAAACTTAAAATAAACTTATACTAGCAACAAAGATGAGTACAGTAGTCTGAGTGTAAATAATGATGATTTAAAAAATGTTACAATACCAATAAGTTTAAAATTTTTTTTCAACATTTTACATCTCTACTCTATTTAATTCTGATATCACTTTCAACATTCTCATGATTTCTTATCTTTTAATGATTTAAACCTGTTCTTATATTTCAGTGTGTAATTTATGCAGAGAATTCTTTGTATATAAAAGTTTTTTTTTTATTATTTCTGCTCTAAATTGTTTTCTTTAATCAAGTATTCTATTTAATTGTGTTGATTCTAAAATGTTCAAAAATGCTTTATCTGCATTTCATAAGCCCTGCTATTCTTATATTCTAAAAGTTTAGAAATTTTACAGTATTATTAATTGCTGTATAAACCAAGATTTGCATACTTGATGCATTTCCTTACATCAACTCCACAAAGGTCATCATTTAGATATATGACAGCATGCCAATTTAAAAAAAAAATCAATTATTTAATCTTATGTTAAAATAATTTTAACAACCTTTTCTTATATAATTTGAAAAAAAATATCTAGTAAAATTGAAGATAAGATAAAATATACATTCTATTTTATAAATAGAAATATGAAATGTTTCTAAATTTTTAATTTAAATATGAAAAATAGTGTCTCATGCTTGGCAATTTTTCAAAATGGGCATGTGTTTATTTCGGATGCTCCTGAGATCTATCATTCTTTCACATTTTTTTAAAAGGAATGCTGATAATTTGAAGTAATTTTTTTGTTTATTAAACCATTCATGTTCTTAAATTCTAAGATTTTCAGTTTCTCCTCTATACATAGATTGCAATTTCTAGTTTTGTTTTTGTTTTTTTTTTTTTTTTTGCTTTATATTATATACCATTTTATGACTGAAAACAGAATGATAGATCTCAGAAATACCCAAAATAAACAAGAGCCCATTTTGAAAAATTGCTAAGCATGACACAGGCTGTAAATAGGTAACTAAATAAAAAATAAATGTGAATTTTTATGTCTATTGAAAAACTCTTTTAGAAATATTTAAAATTGAGCAGTCTTATATATGTAAGAAAAGGAATGTAAAATTTCATATATATAATCACTATTTTCACATTTACCAGGCATTCCTACGACAGTTTTATATGAAAAAAATCATATAAGATGCCCCAGAGTTTCAATAACGGATAAATTCAATATTTTTGTTATAATTTTTTTGGCTTCCATAAGAATGTTTCAGTTTATTACAATGTAAAATAATTATCAGCTTCAACCCTCATAATTTTTGCTTTGACAATAATCATATTGTTTTTTTATATATAAATTTCTCCTATAATTATTTTTCTTTTGTATTAGTCACAGGAAAAAATGTCCTCCTTTCCTGGCTTAAGCTATTTTTTGAAGACTGATGGCATTTACCATTTTTATAAAGCATTTTGTAAACAATATGTATAGCAATGAAATTTTGTCACCATAGTACTGTTAGAATTTTTGCTAATCTAAAAAAACATTTAGTAACAACACAGTTTTATGAGCAAGTGGAATAATCCTCTGAAGATATTACAAAATTGGAAATTGAATTTTACTAAGTGTATTATGAAAGAAACTCTTACTCAAGAGAAACTCCTCTTTATAAAAATCTGCTTAAATGCCACTTTTGACAACCTCTTCTCAAATCTATTACTATCTATAAAATATATAGCTTTTTTCAAATGCTAATTATCATTAAGCTTAGTGATTATTATTAAAGTATCATCACATCAATAGTATGTCACTATGGCTGATGGAGAGAGGGGGGCAGATAGGTGAAGGAAATTTATCTGCTTATTAGTTTTGTTTTCTTAAGAAAATTCAGGGTATAATAGCAGTTAATACTCTGGATTTATCTTCTATGGATATTTCTTTTTTTGCCAAATTATGAAGTAAATTTATTCAAAAGTGGTGTCTTTGCTAGACTGGAAATTGTTTTATTTTTTAAGAGCTTTGTAATGATATTGTGCTAACAAAAATGTGGTATAATGTGCTGTTTTTTCTGTTATGGTAACAAACTCATAAGGATATAGAATTCAGACCAATATATTAATAATACAGATGTAAGAAGTTGAAGTGAAACAATTTATTTTGAGTTACTTATTCCAGTTCAGTAATTGGCTCTTTTGCCTTTTTTTCTTGTTCTTTTTCCATGGCTTTGATCTGCTTAATCTTTGCCACATGCTAGTTGCTCTGCCAACTTATGTACCTACCTTCAAGAGAATAAGTTCATTCACTCATATCTCTCACCTTGAGTTTATAATTTTATGATTTTTCAGATTTACTTCCGCAGTTATGTGAAAGCTGTTGATCATCAGGTCCATGCTGAGGTTAAATTATTAATTCCATTTCTTTCACTAATCCAATTACTGAAACCAAAATAAGTCTTAAGTCTGGTTCTTGATATTTCTTCTAAGAATTTATTTCACAGACACTAATCTAATACTAAATGTGCATGTTAACTAAATGCATTTCAAAATTATCTGCTTGTTCAAATGTTCATATATTTTGTTCATTCAAGGCAAGTTCACTTTTATATTTAAGTCAAGATTCCATGATGTTTGGTGTCAGTGGAGATTTTTGATATGTATCAAAGTTACAATTCTGTCAGCAATTGGGTCTGTTATGAAGAACATGATGAAGTATGTGTGGTGATGTCACATCAAGACATAAGGTTATTGTTAAAATTTAAATAAATGAAAACTATAAAGAAATTTTAATAGAAAAAAAGAATAATCTTATTTGCTCATGAAAAATGAATTTGTTAGAATTAATAAACAGAAAAATAGAATAGGATATGTCACACAAGTAAATAAACTAAAAATAATCTTATTTAATCATCAAAATGAAGTTGTTACAATTAACACACAACATATTGAATAATAAACTAGAATAATCAAAAACTGATGTTACAATTTACATAGAATGATAATGGTAATATTAGTTGTTTCCTTATAAGGAAACATTCATCATTTATTGACTACACACATTGTACTACTTTCACTTGAAATTTATCTTTCTCTTAAAGCAATTTGCAGACATTGCCCCTTTTTCATTATTACACTATTTTCTTTTTGTAAGGAACGTAAGATTTTGACCAATATTTTTGTTGCTTAAATTTTGCACAAGAATTAATACTTAAAGTGACCAAACAATGTATTTTTTGTATAAATACTGGTTAGTCATTACAATAAAAATCTGCCTTTAGTTATTATTAACAGCTGACCAAATCAATGTAGTCATTCAATCAGATGTCATCTGGATTGGCAAACCTTTGGGATTTTAAAGAAACAATGTGCAATTCAGCTTTGTTGCCTTTTATCCTACATGCTTGTAGAGGGCCCGTGGCGGTTACGGTTTGTTGAGGGTTCATGGCGTGGCTGTTATGTTGTTGATAGAAGTCAGACGTAGAAGAAACGCAAGGTTCAGATACTCCTGCCCGCCAAGCCCAACTACATAAAAAGGTTGGACTTTGATTAAGTCCAAAGAAGAAGGAAAAGAAAGCAAACAAAACAAGACTGATAATAAATGTATATACAAATATATATTATTAACAAGTTACAATACAGGGAAACAGTACAAAGGACGAAGTGTGTGTGAATATTCTGTATGTGCGTGTGTGTGTGAATATTCTGTACGTGCGCGGGTGTGCGAATATTCTGTATGTGCGTGCGTGTATATTGTGCTTAGCGTGATTTCATGCTATTCCTTGTTAGCGACTACATTTCAAGGTTGATAGTTGAAATCCTCTAGGAATAAGAGAAATTTACCTCTAGGTGTTGGTGGACAGGCCTGAAAGGAAAAAAGTGATAGAGGCGAAGGGTCATTGGCTATTTATAGCCAGGAAAGAGAGACCCCTGGTGAAAGGGTTACGAACTGAAGGAGGAGTTAACTCCGACAATACCCCCCACCAGATTAAAAGTTGTAAGGAAATGAAAACTTTTAATATATAAAGAAAAAAGGTTCGTTAAAGTCTGAATATTGTTCTTGTGAGCTGAAAAGAAAATGTGTCAGAAGTGTGGTTGAGATGCGTGATTCACGAAATGTGCTTGTGTTGTCAGTGTAATCGTTGAAAATGTTTTTCGAAGCAGTGAGTCATCCGAAAAAATAGTTTGAAACATGGGCAAGCAGTGGAGCTTAAAGGAAAAAATGAATGCGGCGCTTTTTGAGTTTCAGAATGGAAGAAGATCCGAAATGCTATGACCAGTAGCATGTGTTGGAAAAAGCGGAATTTGCAAGATTAATAGCGATTAATTACGTGCATGCAAATTCTCAGTGATGTGCATTTTTAATGGAACAGTGAGTCGTCAGAGAGTTGTAGAATCATTCAATGAAACTTGTGTGTCGCTTTCCATGTCGGAATCACCAATGTTGTTGTTTGAGTAAAGGACAGTGGTTTTGCCTTTAGTGGTTTGGGTTTACACTTTATCTGTTTCAGTCCAGAAGAGGATAGTGTTGGTTGGTAGAAAATGAATTGTTTTTAAGCTCGGTACTGCTCTAAGCATGTGTGCTGGGCGAAATTAGGTCAAATTGAGAGAAAGAAAGGGTCAAGCAAATACAGACCAGTGGGGGAAGAGTTCAGGTTTCTTGAATAGTAGTAATTGTTGTTTTAGTGAGCGGCGTGCATTTTTCAATGTTTTCCCTATTTGGCTCTTTTTTGTGAAAGTGTGTATATAAGAAATTGTTTGTTTTTGTACATATATATCATCTTGTGTGTTTTTTAGCAGGAGTGGAAAAATCACGTCGGGGTCACCATTTGTAGAGGGCCCGTGGCGGTTACGGTTTGTTGAGGGTTCATGGCATTGGCTGTTATGTTGTTGATAGAAGTCAGACGTAGAAGAAACGAGGTTCAGATACTCCTGCCCACCGAGCCCAAGCAGAAAGTATAAAAAGGTTGGACTTTGATTAAGTCCAAAGAAGAAGGAAAAGAAAGCAAACAAAACAAGACCGATAATATATGTATATACAAATATATATTATTAACAAGTTACAATTTGTGTGTGAATATTCTGTACGTGTGGGGTGCGAATATTCTGTATGTGCATTGTGAATATTCAGTGTCCGTGCGTGTGTGAATATTCTGTATGTGCGTGCGTGTGTATGATTTCACGCTATTCCTTGTTAGCGCGACTACATTTCGATAGTTGAAATCCTCTAGGAATAAGAGAAATTTACCTCGAGGTGTTGGTGCACAGGCCTGAAAAAAAAAAAGAGAAGAGGCGAAGGGGTCAAATTTATAGCCAGGAAAGAGAGACCCTGGTGATATGAACTGAAGGAGGGTTAACTCCGACATGCTTTTTTTTCCCATAAAAGGGAGTATGTCGTACTAGATATATTACAGGTATTAAATAAGTGAGTGAACCATGAAGGTATAAGCTGTAGATCTAAAGTTTGCAATGAGCTGTTGTCCAAAATTACCTAAGGAAACCATTTAACAAATAGGCTACTCAGATTGATATGTTTTGTGGTTATGTGGAACTTATATGTAAGTGATGAATGTATTGATTGAAAACAATGACTGAGCTGCTTAAAAGCTGGTTATTACTGACCCAACTCAGGCCTGTTAATCTACAATCTTATGATTTACTGTTAAGACAAACTAACAAATGCAATTTTACTTTTAGAGAAAATCTTAGAGTGTACACATTTAAAAAAAAATAGTTTGAATTTCTTTACCTCATATTTTCAATGAAAAAGGCCAAGAGGTAACAATTACTGGTAATTTTATAAAGAAGCAGTCACAAGTGAAATGTAGAGATCTATGTGTTAACATAATATTTATAAACTTTCAATTATTCACATTTGATCAGATTCATTAATAACTTAGCAGAAAGTATAAAAAATTATTTCTTCTTAAAGGATGAAAAATCTTTGTGGATTTTAACAACATTCTGGGGTTTTATTTTTCATCCAAATCCATGAATTTGTTTTGCTCATGCTAAGACTCAAAAAACACTATATAAAATTCACTATTTTTTTTATCCATAATGTGGTTAAATTCAACTTTTTAACAAGTAAAATGATGTTAAAAATTGCTACAAAACATTGTTGATTTATTTAAAATTGAAAGACCTAAAATTGAAAGACCTATTATGACATGTCTTTGTATTTAGATACATTGAATTTAAATTCGATCAGAAACCAATTACTGACAAAATTTGGAATTTATCAAACTATAAATACAGTGGCCCTTTGCTATTGATACATTTACAAAGCACTAACACATTCCGGTCACAAAGTAATATATCAACAAATACCTTACAATGGCAATAACTGATAGTTAAAATTTGAAAACTTAAGCATGTACTTTTCTTGCATTGAAACATATATTACAGATGTGTGCAAAAGTTTCCAGTATCTTTCTTTATATGTATAGGGTTTTCGCCAATTTCTAGTTTTCTAAGAAGTAGCACTAATAACTTTTGCTCATGCTTAATGTCTTTGTATTGAAGCATGTACTATTTTTGTGGTGAAGCATGAATTTGACATATTTTCTTTCATATATATATATATATATATATATATATATATTATATATTCATTTACTCTATTGTAGCCTGCTTGCATGACAGACTGTTTATTTCATAAAATTTCTGAAATCTGGGTTCTTCATTTTTATTATTTTTACAATATTTATTTTCAGAATGGTTAAAAAGTTCTTGGCCTGGCCCAATTCCCAAAATCTGACAAAGTAACCAGTCACTTTTTTTTTAAATCTCATCTTGGTTGGGCCGAGAACTTTTCAGCATCTCATAGTTTTAGTAAACACTTGCTTATATTGATAGATATATCAATATATACATCAGTAATTGAGAAGCATTTTTATACTGTCACACACATGCATACCTATCTTTACAATCTGAAACATGTATTTGTATACTTGTTGTTAATTTTTATGTTATGAGGGAATTCAGGCCCTTGATTTGAATTTATCACCTCCAGGCAAACAGAAGGCAAGTGACATATTCACTATGCCAGTGTTCTTCTGTTTGGGCAACATGATAAAATTAACTTGCAAATACAAAGTTAGGTAAGGTGCATCTTAGGCAAAAGTGATGATCTTTATGTAATAGTGCCTGCCAAAAATGACAGTATTTTCTATATTTATTTATATATTTGGACTTGTATATAAAAAAAAACTACTAATAACCATGACTTAACAATATATTGTTGGCATGATTCTAAAAGGTTGAGTTGATATATGCCCTTTTGCATGTTTTTCCCATTTTTGAAATGAGCAAATTGATCATGATAACAATGACATAGACAGTCTTATGATACAAAAAAATTTTTTCAGTTAGGCTCCAACTTTAAAAAGAAATCATTATGC